TTGTCAGCTTTAAGAAAATGTGTTATTTGTAGTGATTCTTCCCCCTTATTCTAAACATCCACTTTTTATCCCTAACATTGTATTTGTGAGTTTGTGTGTTTTTTTTTTTTTTTTTTTGAGACAAAGTCTCACTCTTGTGCCCCAGGCTGGAGTGCGATGGCGTGATCTCAGCTCACTGCAACCTCCACCTCCCAGGTTCAAGCGATTCTCCTGCCTCGGCCCCCCAACCCCCGAATAGCTGGGATTACAGGCGCCTGCCACTATGCCTGGCTAATTTTTGTATTTTTAGTAGAGACAGGGTTTCACCATGTTGGCCAGGCTGGTCTCAAACTCCTGGCCTCAGATGATCCACCCGCCTCTGCCTCCCAAAGTGCTGGGATTACAGGCGTGAGCCACTGCACCTGGCCATATTTTTTTTTTTAAAGAGGGCCCGTAAATTTTACAAGCTCAGCTCCCACAGAACCTGGATGTCGCAGGGAGGTTGAAGGCTATGGCCCAGGCTCCCCCAGGTGCAATCTGTGTCACTGAAGCTGGCTGCATTGCTGCTTTTCTGAGGGCACCTAACGAGAATTTGATTTCCCTGAGTCAGTGTGGGGTCCTATTTTCTTCTGTGCATCTCCACTGAGCCTTAGGGAGCCTTAGGAAAGGCTACAGAGATGGGGTACTTGTGAGGTTGGAGCACCCTCTGCTGGGAAAGCAGAGGTACAGCCGGGAGTGGCTGCACTGAACCAGGGTTATTAGATGCAGGTCAGAAAGCAGGAGGGGTTTGGACTTAGCTCATTGACAAGCCCCTCTTTTGGGGCATGGGCACATTGGAGCACACACACACCATCTCTGAAATTCAAACGCGAGTATGCTGCTGTGTACATGTGCTCCATTTCCATCCCACCTGAAGGAACACCAACAGGAGTAACTGCAAGTCAGTTCTGACACTAATCCCCCTAGGGTTGGCAGCAGACTTTAGTTTTAGGGCTCAGTCCTCCACAAAACTGCCTCTGTTTCAGTACCAGCTGCAAGTTGGGTACCTAGACCACCTGCACTTCTGACCAGCCAGGTACAAATTTGAGCATCCCCACTGCTTCCCCAGTTTTGATAATTTGCTGGAATGACTCAAAGCTCACTGAAAGCACGATACTGTGCTTACAAAATCACAGCTTTATTATAAAGATACAGCTTAGGAACAGGCACAGGAAGTGTGACAGAGGGCAAGGTCTGAGAGGGAGGACAGTGCTTCCACGTTCGCTTCCCAAGGAATCAGGGATCGCCAGCCTCCGGCATCTCAATGTGTTCACCAACCAGGGAGTTCCACAGAGCCTCAGTGTGCAGAGTGTTTATTGGGGTTTCACTGCCTAGACTTGATTGAGTGAACACTGACCACATGACTAAACTCAATCTCCAGCCCCTTCTCTCCTTCCTGGAAGTCTGTTGGCCGAAAGTCCCAACCTCTAATCCTGTGGTCTTTCTGGTGACCAGCCCCTGCCTAAAGTGATCTAGGGGTCCACCCTGAGCCACCTCTTTAGCATAACAAAGATTTCCATCTCTCAGGAAATTCCAAGGGTTTTTGAAGTTCTGTGCCAAGAACTGGGAAGAAGACCAATTATATTCTTTATCATCATATAACACATCCACACAAGCACAAGAGTCATGTCTCAGGCAGCCTGGACCCCACAGCATTAGCCAGCCACTCTGTTTGATTCACAGACTCCCTAGGGTGGTGGCAAAGCAAAGCCAAAGTCCTCTAAGGGTTCCCTGGATGACCTTCCATAAAAGCAGCCCCCGGGCCCAGGGCAGCCTCGCCCCAGCTGCCCTTGGGTTCCCTCCCCTCCACGACACCTGCTTCCTGAAGAACAGTTCAAGGCCATTGGGCAGGAGCTCGTGTTTAGGGCACAGGCTGGCCTTGCCAATCATTGTGCTATTTTGTTTAAAACAAAACAAAACAAATCCCAAGCCCCCACTTGGCAAGGCAGGCCTGGTCCCGAGGACACTACAGCTGCCACTACAGTCAGACAGCAGAGGGTACAGTTTGTATCGTGAACCTGCAGGCCTGGGACCATGAGTGACACCCTGCACCATTACCACCACTGCCCTGGGAACTCCACTGAGCTTCAGCGCTGCAGCTACCCCAGGGAATTCTCTGTGGCCCTTGGTTCTTCGGCGCCTGCTCCTGTGTTTAGAGTGGCTATCTGGGTAGGCATGATCCTATGTTCCAGCTGGGAGGGCAGCCAAAAAAAAAAAAAAAAAATGCCGGATGTCTCTGTGTCTCCTGTTCTTTCAGGCCTATGATCCTGCGCTGCCCACACCACAACCCCCAGTGCTGCTGGCCCTGGTCTTCCCACCACACCCTCCAAGACCCTGGACAAATTCTTCTGTTTTTATGGCCTGAGATTGGAACACCCTCCATGGTATTTCCAACACCCATTAGTTGGGAGTTTCAAAGATAGCTGCTCAGGTTGGCCCCTCTTGTGCTCTGCTGTTCCTACAACTCCCCATACCTCTCCCTCTTAGGAATGGAACACCACTGTAACATATGTTAGGCACATCCTTATATTAGGTACTTATTGTATGCCAGGCCTTGGGCTTCATGTTTCATGTGTGTGATTTCATTAAATCTTCACAGCCACGTTCTCCGATGGCCTTCAGGGCCCCACCTGACCTGGCCACATTCCCTTTGAACTCACTCCCACACGCTTTCCTTCTCTCCATCTGCTCCAACCACAGAGGACACACCCTATAGACGAGGTGGTACCACTATCATTTCTGTTTACAGATGAGCAAACTGAGATTCAGAGAGGATAAATGAATTGCTTAGAGTCACAGAGATGGTAATTGGTGAAGCCAAACAGAATTCAAACCCAGGAGTGTCAAATGCCAGAATTCATAGGCTTAATTTTTAACCCCTTCCCAGTTCTAGCACACAGATATCCACACTCCTCTTCTCCCACCCGGCCGCCCCCAGCACAATTTCTGAGCCATGGGGCTGGTGAGGAGACTGCATCAACCTGCCCTTGAGAATTTGGCCACAACAGAGCACCATCTCAGCCTTTGCCCCCTTCCATTAGCCAGTCCAGCCTGGCAGATGGGCGGGGAGGCATCGTGGCTAAGCCCTCAGGGAGCCACAGCTGTATTGCCAGGGCTTGGATCTTGGTGTTGCTACTTACTGGCTGGGGGACCTTGGGCAAGATGCTTAACTTCTCCACGTCCCCCGTTTCCCCGGCTGCAAAACGGGGATTCTACAGTGCTCACCATGCAGAATCACTGTGAGGATGCGAGGAGTGAGTGCGTGAAGCCGCATTGAGTTGGGTATGGAAGAACAGCAAGCCCAGGGTGCCATCTCCCTGGACTGCAGCCTGACCGCCTTCGGAGGTTGGGCCAGCGCCTCTGAGCCATCTTTGACCTTGATGCACCTCCTGCTCCTGCAAGGCCCCTCTACCTCCGCCTCGTCCTCCATGGGAGCGCTGCAGCCGCTGCTGGGGTCCCCCTGCCTGCCAGCCTCCTGACCTGCCAAGCTGACGAAGCGCTTGTGCAGTCCTGCCCTCAAGGAGCAGGACTCCTCTCTGCGGTCTGCCCAGCTCCAGGGCGGGCTGACTGGAGGAGGGAAATGAATATTCATGGAGCTCTTCCCAGGTGCCTGATTTTCTTCCTCACAACAAGGGTGCAAGGTGGTCACAATAAGGACACGGAGCCTTGGAGAGGTCTGCCCAGGGTGTGGGCTGCTGGGCCTTTCGAGGCTCAGATTCTAAGTCGGCGTTCCTCAGGGGCAGAACTTAGGGAGATCAGAGAAACTTACAAAGACCCCAATTTAGGAGAAGGCAAAGCCCAAGTCTCCCGATGACTTTTGGAGCTGACCTGACACCTAGCGGCCACAAGTGGGAATTACTCCACCTTTGGAGGCTCCCAGGGCCGCTGAGGCAGCTGGGCTTGGCCACCCATCCCTTGCTTACTTGAGCGTCAAGGGGTGGCCTGGAGGGTTGAGGTGGGGGGGTGGGGGAAATTTTAACTTCCCTGTAATCTCCATCATTTCGCCAAAGCTACCCAAACAAAAATAAGATTTGATAAGAACATCTTTTCCATTTTATGCAAAAGATGAGAACAAAATTATCTTGAAAAAATTTTTCATTGATCCATAACCATTACAAATGTATAACTTGTCCATTACACATTTTGATACTTCATAGCCTCTCCTTCTTGCCCACACATAACCCTCAGGGTTCCACCTGGGCACCAACATTGATTGGACGCTCAGTTACAGGCAGGGAACCTGGAGAATTTTACCGATTGTAACAGATTTAAAAGACATGATCCCATCTGGGCATGGTAGCTCATGCCTGTAATCCCAGCACTTTGGGAGGCCAAGGCAGGCAGATCACTTGAGGCCAGGAGTTCAAGACCAACCTGGCCAACACAGGGAAACCCTGTCTCCACTAAAAATACAAAAAAAAAAAAATAGCTGCTCACGGTCGTGCAAACCTGTAATCCCAGTTACTTGGGAGGATGAGGCATGAGAATCGCTTGAATCTGGAAGGCAGAGGTTGCAGTTAGCTGTGTTCACGTCACTGCACTCCAGCCTGGGTGACAAAGCGAGACTCTCAAAAAAAAAAAAAAAAAAAAGACTTGATCCCAGACGTCAAGGACTTCACTTTATTTGGGGAGATAGAGCAGATGTCTACAGAGCACCCGATGTTATGGTAGATGTTTCAGTCCATAGACTCCTTATTGCGTTTCTTTTTCTTTTCTTTCTTTTTTTTTGAGATAGGAGTTTTGCTCTTGTCACCCAGGCTGGAGTGCAATGGCATGATCTCAGCTCACTGCAACCTCTGCCTCCCAGGTTCAAGCGATTCTCCTGCCTCAGCCTCTTGAGAGATGAGATTACAGGCGCCCGCCACCATGCCCAGCTAATTTTTGTATTTTTAGTAGCGATGGGGTTTCACCATGTTGGCCAGGCTGGTCTCGAACTCCTGACCTCAGGTGATCAGCCTGCCTTGGCCTCCCAAAGTGCTGGATTACAGGTGTGAGTCACTGAACCCGGCCTTTACATTTCTTTATATTCCCTTCATTGTCCTCATTTGGACTCTGAGCTCCTAATCCACCCAGGTGATGGAAATTCCATTTCAGGAACATGGTCAAGGTGGTGCCACTGAGCTTCCATGGTGCTCACTTGTCAGGAGAGGCCCTCTACCTATTGGTCACCAGTCCACACTGATTATTGCTGGGGGTCTTTGGTCCCAGCTCAGGGGGTCCCTGCAGAGCTGCTGCTCTGCTGCCCTCATGCTATGTTTGGGGCAGGGGAGCTCCGCCAGGTTGGGAGCCCAGACCAAGAGTCAGCCTCCAGGGCATAGCTCAGCTACTTGTTCTGAGGTCCTGCCAGACTTGAAGGCCTCCCTCTCCTCCCAGCAGTGCTGGGGAAGCTCCTCTGAGGGCTGCTGTGGCCCACCCTTCTCACTCTTCTCTTCAGTTCTGTTCTCCCCAGTGAGCTTAGGCTGGCAAAAATGTGCACTAGGGAGGGATGAGTCTTGCTAGAAACTTCTATCCTGGCCCTAAACCTCACAACGGCTAAGACTTTAATAAGGAAGAGAAAGGGCAGAAATACAGCACATGAGTGGGACATAAATTATTTCCAATAATGATTCTGCTGCATGTGCGGAGGGGTCTTGGTGTTCACCTCCACCCTTGGTGAAGCCAAGTGAAACACAAAGGATAGTGACTTGGTTTCTAGACCCTTCGCTGGTGCGCCAAAGTGTGGGTTACCAAATATCAGCCTTCCTCACCCCCTACACTTTCCCTACATTTCACCACTTACCCCAAACAATCACCAGGTGAGTGTGCTTGTTCATTTCACAGGTGTTTATTGAGTATCTACTATGTGCCAAGCACTACATGGGGCTGCAGAGGGGCACAAGAAAGTTCCTGCCTTGCTAATCTACAATGGTGTCTGGTAAGATCAATCAAAACTCCCACAGGTGCCTGTTCCACCCACTTAATCAGTGAATGCTGTTCTTGGCTATTCCTTTTCTTCCTTCACTAAGCTCTTCCTGTCTCCCCAGTTTCTCAAGGAATTTAAAGGCGAAATGCAGAATGATAGACTCCTAGAACGGACTGGGAAGGCTTTATTTCAGCTGCTCCATTTTCAAGGGGAGCCACTGGGACTCCAAGGTCATGTGGCCAGGATGGGATGCCCGCTCTCTTGGTCTCCTGTCCTGGCTCCCTCCTTGTGACCTCACAGCATTTGTTTGCTTCTTAAAGGCCCCTGCCCTCATTCCCTCAGCATCTGTTCCCCCTGCCACTGCCTCCCACCATGGAGGTCTCCCCTGGACTCCATTTTTAATCACTATGATGATTACCCTTGTGCTCTGACCTGCTCTCTGAGGCTCTTTCCCTGCTGCCTAGCAACCCCATCACGTTCCAAATTTGTCTGTGCAGCTCTTAACGAGGCTGCATTGACATGTCCCCTGGTGGTCACTAAAAGCAGAAGGTGGCCCCCGTGGTGACGGGCACACCACCAGCAGCCCAGGACGCCCAGAACCAAGCCAGACTTTATTTGCTTGTGCCCAGCCCTGGCCACAGCATCTGTCCATCGAGATTTCTGCCACCTCTTGCTCTCCTTCCTGCCACCATCCGACTTGCCAGGACTCCTCTTGCCGAGACTTCTTTCCAGACCAGACTTATTGCTATGGCTTCATTGTGTTCAAGAAACTGGTACGAAAGGTAAGGGAAAGATGCTGAGCGCCCATACAGCCTCATGGCTGATGGGCAAGAATGTTAAGATAGGCTCAAATCCAAAGGAGACCATTTGTAAACCCATCTCTGTCCTTAGAGGTCATGCTATTAACCATTATATCTCCCCCACTACACACACTTATGATAAGTACATGGGAAAGGCATGCAAATGTGCACTTAAGACCATTTGCAAGAGCCCTTTGGGGAGGCAGAGTGAACTATGGAGGGAGATAAAAATGGACCTTCATTTTTTTCCCTTGCTACACTTCTGTGGGTTTAGATTTTTTTTTTTTTTTTGAGATGGAGTCTCACTCTGTCACCGAGGCTGTAGTGCAATGGCGTGACAGCTTACTGCAACCTCCGCCTTCCAGGTTCAAGCAATTCTCCTGCCTCAGCCTCCCAAGTAGCTGGGATTACAGGTGTTCGCCACCACACCTGGCTAATTTTCGTATGTTTAGTAGAGGTGGGGTTTCACCATCTTGGCCAGGCTGGTCTTGAACTCCTGACCTCAGGTGATCAGCCTGCCTTGGCCTCCCAAAGTGCTAGGATTATAGGCATGAGCCACCGCGCCCAGCCGGGTTTAGAATTTTTACAATGAGACATTATTTGTAATGTAAAACAACAATGAAAAGGATCATGCAACAATGAAAATTAAAACTCTGCTCCTCAATCACAGCTGATAAAGTGGCAGTGTGTGATCTGAAGGGCAATTTGAAGCGACCCCCAAGGGCTCCCTGCTCGGGTGCGGAGACTCAGGGACCCAGACCCCAGTTCTGTCTCTCGAAGGCCATGTGACCTTGCCTGCAAACCTGGAGACTTTGCTGGACGTGGAACCTGGTCTGGAGCCTCTGAAATGGGCATTTGCCATCAGCTTCCCCAGGAACAAGAGGTGCCACTTTAGGTAGGGGGCAGGTGAGGAGGCACAGGGCAGGCTGCTGAGCAGCACAGGAGTGGGAGGCCCGGTGGTAGCAGGGCGGGCCTGAGCCACCTTTGGGGCCCTCTTGCTGGATGCCAGTGTCACTACCGAGTGACGTCCCCTGTGCTGGTCGCTGTGTGCATTTCCCCCACTCACTCCTTACAGACCCCTCCCAGGTGCCGCGGTTATCTCCCCGTTTTAAAGGGAGAGGCGATCCGCGCACAGCTGCAGCTTTGTTCTGCCAGAGCAGGGCTTGCAGCTGGGTCAGTCTGCCTTTCTTGTCTGCGTTGTGGTTTCTCCGCACGACGACTCTGAGTGGACCAAAGGAAAGAGGTACTGGGAGAAGGCTCGTGGGGCAGGGCTGGATGGGAGGCCTTGTCCCACAGAAGCTCTTAAGAACACAGTCCAGCCACAGGGCCACCGAGACAGATGGGAGCCCAGCTGCAGACCCAGGCTTGCCAGGGGTAACTGTGTCCTGCGCCTGGGCTGGGAGGTCTAGTGCAGTGAGAGACAGAACAGGTGTGGACCCCTCAGGCCTGGAGTCTCGGCCAGAGTTATCCTTCCCAGCTGTGAGAACTTGGCTGCTTTTCTTTTCTTTTCTTTCTTTCTTTTTTTTTTTTTTTTTGAGACGGGCTCACTTTGTGGTCCAGACTGAAGTGCAGTGATGCAGTCTCAGCTCGCTGTGCCCTCTGCCTCCTGAGCTCAAGTAATCCCCCTACTTCAGCCTCCCAAGTAGCTGGGACTTCAGGCATGCACTGCCACGTTCAGCTAATGTGTTTTTTTTGGTTTTTAGTGGCGATGGGGGTCTCGCTATCTTGCCCAGGCTTGTCTCGACCTCCTGGGCTCAAGCGATCCTCCTGTTTCAGCCTCCCAAAGTGCTGGGATTATAGGCATGGGCTACTGCACCCGGTGAACTTGGCTTCTTTGCTGCACATCTCTAGAGCTCTGTTTCATCACTTGCTAAGTGGGGTGATGGCAGCATTGCCATGGGGCACCGTGAGGCTGACAGCGTGCCTGTTGGGCAAGTGGAGAGGACAGGCATGTGGTAGGGTCTCATTGTGGGTTGCTTACAGGCATCACCAGCATCATGGACCTGTCCTCTCTCTTCAAGGACTTCGGCCTAAGATACAACATCCCTCACTCGCCAAGCCACGGCAGAGTGCAGGGACCTATAGTCCCTAACACACCGTTAGCATTTGGTGCTTGTGTGCCTCTGCCCTCTGTCTAGGGCTCTGTCTTGCCTGAAACATTGCCGCCTCCCGCCTGAGCAACACTTCCTCTTTGGGCTGCAGGGGTGCCTGGTACACACCCCTATGGCTTCTCTCACCTCACCAGGCCCTAAAAATCTGCTCCCTTGCCTGTCCTCTTCCTGGGCTGTGAGTGTGAGCTCCGGCTCCTCCCGCTGGCGTCCCCAGCATCTGGCCCAGTAGCCAGCAGCGACTGATTGGGCTCAAGTTTCGCTAAACAAGTGAATTGGGGATGAGAAGGAGGGTAGACAGTGGGGCCCGGCCTTGGCATGCAGGGAACAGGCAGGTGGGTGAAGCCCCAAGTAACAAAGTATAGACAGGGCAGCCGGGGGAGCTCGCATCAGCCCAGCCAGGGCCCCTTGCAGAGAACGGGGAGCGGCGTGGAGCCTGGGCTGACCTGAAGTTCACCATGCCTGTCTTCTCATCGAGCTTCTTTATCACCTCCCTGACCTGGTACTGGTTCAGAGGGACCTTGGTTTGCTGAGGAGGTGGATGGAACATGTGCAGTTACTAGAACTCTGTTCACCCCTCCCTACGCACGCCCCCCCTTCCCCACTACTACACACACACACCTTCCACACACACACACCCCACACACACAATGCCTCACTCCTCCTGGGACCGTGGAGGGCAACTGATTGAGAGCTCAGGGGAAACTGATTCCACAGCACGGAGGGGCTGGAGAAAGCTCCCTGCCCATGGGTCATTGTCCAGACTCCAAAGGGCCTCCCCTTTCTGGGGGCAATAAGGGAGGAGGAGATCAGAGTCAGGTGGAGCGAGTGGCTGGGGAAGGGGACAGGACTCTCTTTTGCATCCTGTGAAGTTCGTTCTTACTTCCCGTCGCTGAGTCCCGAGCAGGCTCTTCGCCCCTGGCTGGGGTACTGGGCACCGGACACCGACTGCCTTATCCGTCCCTGCCTGGGCCCCGGGAACTTCTCCTCTGGAGTCCTATTCCTGCAGGGCCCAGGTCTCTCCTGGGATACTCTGATGATAGACCCCTTCAAGTCTGCATTACAGGGGGCTTTCAGCACCTTTGTTACATGGGGAGTGAGAGGAATGTGGGATTTCAGAGAAATGATATGGCCCAAGGTGGAAATGTTGGGACTTTGGGATGTGGTCTCCTCTCTCACTCCCTTTGTAATGTGCCCAGTAGTGAAATGCAATGGGGAGAAAAACCTCAAGATAGAAGATGTGTCTCTGGGTGGCATCTCGGGTCCCCGGTGGCATCAAGCCATAGCATAGGAATGACTTCAGCAGGGGTTGAGGGAGGTCTTAGGTTCCCCTCTGGGTCTAGATAAATGAGGGGAGTGTCCCATAGCCCATCCCAGGAAGCTCTAGGAAGTGCTTACAAGCCCTTCTCCTCCTCTCCCCTCTCTCTGACACACAAACATACACACACAAACTCACTCACACTCACACTCAGCCTGTGGCCACTAGGACCCAGCACACCTCTATCATCACTTTCTGGAACTCGTCCACAGACATCTTCATTGTCCCGGTGGGGTTCAAGCTCTTGAAGAAGTCCATGACTGTGATTTTGTGCTGGTCTGCATAGTTCTGAGAGAAGCAGAAGAGACCAGGAGCAAACACTTGGCCTTCTAACAGTGATTGCAGGCCCCCCTCACCTCCCACAGAAGGGTGGCCCATGCTTCCAGGCCTAGCACGGCTGAGAAGGGCAGAAGGCCAAGGTGAGGAGCCTGAGTCTCCCAGGTGTTGGCCGTTCCCTAAGACCAAGAGCCGAGTGCAGACCTACCAGGCCTGGCAAGGGTGCATGCCGGGATGGTTCCTGTGTGCTCGCCAGGCTTCCAGGAACCCCTTGGCATGGCACAGACGCTCCCTTTGTTCCAAAGGTGGAAGGACTGAAGTCCAGGCTGTTCAGGCGTCGCGGTGCCAACGGGATGGGGCATGACCATTATCTACATATGTGATCTGTTAACACTGGTATGGACGGTGTGCTGTGGATGGTGGGCGGATGTTCAGAGATCAAAAGGTTAAACCACAGCTGTATAATGTGATGGTTTGGCTCTATGAATTCCTAGGATTCTCACAGTTTCACGTCAATGCTCACATGGAAACATACTTTGTTAGAGTATTTTTAAAAGGATATTTCATTTTTTTCATTTAAAAAATATAGTCATCCCTTGATATCTGCAAGGGATAGGTTCCAGGACCACCTCAGATACCAAAATCCACCAATATGAAAAGGCAGTCCTCCATCTCCGTGGGTTTCTCATTCCTCAGATGCTGTACTTTGGATCCATATTTGCATATGCAGAACCCACGGGTACGAAGGACTGACTGTATTTATTGAAAAAAAATCCAAATATGTAAAAGTCGATGAAATGGCACAGTTTAAACCCGTGTTGTTCAAGGGTCAAGTGTATTATTACTCACATTGCAAGGCAATTTTAGATTAGCAGAAGAAAATTTTAAATATCACCCACAAATCTAATACCACCACACGCAGGTAATATCCTGGTGTGGACCCTTTTATCTTTTTAGCTATCTGTCTGACATCAGTCTGTCTAACTTCTATCTATCTGTATATCATTATCATCTATCTCTATCTATCTATCGATCGATCGATCGATCGATCGATCTATCTATCTAATCTCTCATCTTTCTACTAAACCTACTGTTTTACAGAACCCGCTGTTCACATGTGAACACCTTTTCAATGACATATTCTTTTCCTTTTTTTTTTTTTTTTTGAAACAGAGTCTCACTCTGTCGCACAGGCTGGAGTGCAGTGGCACAATCTTGGCTCACTGCAACCTCCGCCTCCCAGCCTCCCAGATTCAAGCAATTCTCCTGCCTCAGCCTCCCGAGTAGCTGGGATTACAGGCATGCGCCACCATGCACAGCCTATTTTTATATTTTTAGTAGAGATGGGGTTTCACCATGTTGGTCAGGCTGGTCTTGAACTTCTGACCTCAAGTGATCCTCCCACCCCGGCCTCCCAGAGTGCTGGGATTACAGGCATGAGCTACCGCACCCAGTCTTACAATATTACAATATTCTTTTAGATCCTTTTTAAGCATTTTTTTTTCTCTTCCCCACTGTGACCCCTGCTTCCCCCCGGCCACTCCCCCCTTCCCCTCACTCTCAGAAACTCAGACAGGGTCCTGCTGTATGGATAGCTATTTCTGGCAACATCCGGCTCACGAAGCATTTCCTCAGGGCTCAGCCCTGGGGCCCTTGCTCTTTGTTCCCCACACTTCCCCTTCCCAAGTGCATGGCCTCCCGCCCTTCCGGAGTGCCTCCCGAAGCTACATTTCCAGTTTTCCATCCTCCACGGCTGCGGACACCCCACCGGCACTTCAGTCAACACATCCAAAGTGCCCCTCATCCCCTGAATCTGCGCACTGCTGCTGAGCGCTGTGGCAGAGGCCGTGGGTGAGCCCGCAGCACCCACTGCTGTTTCTTCACAGCAGGCTTCTCATCCATGCAGAGGCTGGAAAGCTGAAAGCGACATTCCCCAAGCCCCCTTGCAGCTGGGGGTCAGAATGGATGGCCTGTGCCAAGCACCTGCCTGAGATGTAAGTGTGAGGCTTGTGTCTGATTTGAGAGAGGCAGGTGGTGGGCAGCGGCTGTGGTTGCTTCCTGACTGGGCAGGGCATTCTGCGGTTGTGCAGCTTCTTGATTATAGCAGAAGGAGCAACCCTCTTGGCAACCCAGTTGGGGTGCTTTGAGAGCCATTTCTGGAATCTAACAAGGGTCTGTTTGTTCAGCCCTCCTGACATTTCTATGGTCTCTCTCCTGTAATAAACCCCTGTGTGCTTAACCTAGTTGGAGTAAATTCTGTGGCCAGCAACTAAGAACCTTGCCCAGCTACTTTGGTAGGTGCTACTACTAAGACTCCACACAGCCCTGCCCTGGAGGAGTTCACAGGATTGCAATGAAAGGGTGAAGCCGAGGGCTTTAGGAACACAAAGGGCGTTCGCCCTTGACCAGGGAATCCAAGAAGCGTTTCCCTAGGAAGTGACATTGTGCAGAGACCTGAGAATGGGTAGGAATGAGCGAGACACAGAGGGCAAGAAGAAAAGTGTTCCAGGTGGAAGGACCTGCCCTGCCCGTACACAGGCCTGCAGTGAAGGGAGGGCTGATGCAGAGAGGATCCGGAAGCACTCCAGTGGGGCTGGAACGTGGAGAGACAGGAAGGGCCAGGTGGCAGGCACTTCCCCCATCTGCACTTCCCTGCCTCTGGCAATCTTTCCTTCAGTCCCTTGGGCTTGAAATCTTGGGTTACCTTTGGGTTTCTCTTATCATCACAGGCCTTCCTATCCCAACACACACACACACACACACACACACACTCACATGCATGCAATACATAACCCCACATACCCAACCATTCGCCAAGTCCTGGAGATGTTTCCATAATGATAGCTCTTACATCTGCCCTTCAATTCCATTGTTATTCTCAGCCAAGCCATCATTCCACATCTAGAATGCTACAATAGTGTGCTCATATGGTTTCCTACTTTTTTTTTTTTTTTAACCCTCTTCAATTCACTCCCCATTGCCAGAACCCCTCAGTCCTGCTGGATTTGCATCACATCCACTGCCCAACAGCTCTCACCGGCTCCCTGTTCCCGATGGAATCAAAGCCAAACTCGGAGCCTAAAATCTGAGGGCTGCCACTTGCAGCCCAGCCTCCCTTGCCAACTTTGCCTCTTGGGCTCCTCTATGAACCTGTAGTCATGTGTTAGTGTCCCCTGAACATGCTGCGTGCGGTTCCACCTCGGCACCTTTGCTGGCAGGAGCCTCTGGCCGGAACACCCTCCCACCCTCTGTGGCTCACCTCAGTCTTTGACATTCTTCAAGGCCCTTACCTGATCCCATCTCTTCCAGGAAATCATCCATTTCTGGTTGCCCAATCCTACATTGATCTCTTATTTGGATTTCGACTGCATTTTCTGCTTCTGTCACTTTTTTGTTATCATATGACATTTTTTTTTTTTTTTTTTTTTTTTTTTTTTGAGACAGAGTCTCGCTCTGCCTCCCAGGCTGGAGTGCAGTGGCATAATCTCAGCTCACTGCAGCCTCCACCTCCCAGGTTCAAGCGATTCTTGTGCCTCAGCTTCCCAAGTAGCTGGGATTATAGGCACCTGCCACCACGCCTGGCTAATTTTTGTATTTTTAGTAGAGATGGGGTTTCGCCATGTTGGCCAGGCTGGTCTCAAACTCCTGACCTCAAGTGATCCACCTGCTTCTGCCTCCCAAAGTGCTGGGATGACAGGCCTGGCCATATGAAACTTTCTATGATCTGTGGGTCATCACTGTATCCATCCCATCTTTCCAACCAGATTGTCAGTCCCCTGAGGGGAAGGGCTATGTTTGACTCTGCATGTCTTGTTTGGTCTCCAAGATTCTTTTTGTGTGCATCTTTAAAACAGGAGGCGGGGCCTCCACTTTGTATCAAACAGCTCCATTCCTGTTCACTGGACCACCCTGCTCCCCTTGCAAAACAGGTTTGCCCTTGGTTCCATCTGAAGTCATCTTACTTGTACAAATACTTGACACCACTTTGCCTTCTAGAATTTTTCACATAGCAATTTTCATGTGGGAGCTCTTTTATTTAGTTCTGGAAACTGAGGCACAGAGCAGACCCATCAGGGGCAGGAAGCAGCCCAGGGACACACCCTGCAGAACGTGCATTGGCAGAGCGCCATGCCCATGCCTGCTCCCCAGATAGTAACCGCTCTGCGGCCAGCAGCAGGCTCCTCGCCCCCACCGCAGGGTGAGAGGCCTGCCGTGGAAACACCAGAGCAGAGTCTGGGCACTGGTCTGCGAGACGATGGGACTGGAGGAGCAATAACATCCTTTTAGGTGCTAATATTCTCTGATTTTGTGTTTCCACTGTTACATCTGCCTCCTGTGATTGCCAGAGCTAATCTAAGAAAAGATGAGTCAGGGGCAAGTTACCATTAGAAACAAAGGACTGAAGCGTCTCTCTTTGGCTGAAGCTGCCAGATAGCCATCCTGACCACAGGGATGACTTGACCTCCTTACCAGCAGTTGGAAAGAAACTGTGTCTATAATAAACAGGTGCTTGTTCTATACCAGGCAACCTTCTAAGCACTTCATGCATTTTACATAATTTGATTTTCCAAGCAATCCTACTGGGTGGCTACTGTTGTGTCCATTCTGCAGGTGAAGAGACTGTGACCCGGAGAGCTTTAGTAACTTGCCCTTGGTCATACGCTAGCAGGTGGAGGAGCCCGGGTGGGAGAATCCATCCTGTCCACCCATCCCCTTCAGGTAGATCTCAGCTCTTCCTTTCCTCTGGGGATCAGGAAGCACTGCTGAGGGATCCAGTAGCCACAGAGAATATTCATTCCATATCTGCAGTCCAAGGGACTGAGATATTCCTTATCAGAGAGGGCTGTACAGACACTGTAGGGGAGGGAAAGTCTGGAAACTGATGTGGAGCCATTAGCCAGCTTTCCCCATGGCTCCCTGGAGGCCCTGAGAGGAAGGCAGGAGCTCACCTGGATCAGTTTCATGGGGTTTGTCAACAAAAAGATGGTTTTCTTGGCAGAGAGGCCTTGTACTGCCTTGAACACCACATCCAGCTGCGGGTGAACAGCATACACTCCGTCCAACGTTTTCATGAACTGCTCGGACACCAGCACGTTCTGTGGCAGGGAGAGAAGGGACCCATGATGATGAGGGCACTGCCATCATGACTGCCCAACCAGTGCACCCCACCCCTTCCACCTGAGCCAAAGTCAGGAAGTTTTGTCTCTTCTAGTTTTTTCTCAGTGCTGCTCCCGGACTGGGATAGTACGGGTATTTTAGAGCTTGTAAATTGACTTGTAAGTTTCCTGTGTAATTTTGATGGAATGTTTTTGTTGAGTGCTGGTGGCTTGTCACCTGCTGCCAGCTCAACTCTGCTCTCAGATGGCATCTGCATCTGACAGATGAGATACGGCTATGGAGTGGCAAGACGGTTCTTAAAGCCCTGAAATGTCCATGTCTGCGTGAGTGTTGTTCGTCAGAGAAAGTGCCCTGGAAGAGGATCCCTGATTCCAATAAGTGACCAGGGATGAACTGGAAACCTCCCCTTCTGGAACTGCCCTCAGAGCTGGTTTGTAGGACACGGGAGAAAATGCGTCCTGTGAAATAGTGTTTGATCAAACCTGGGCTCCACCAGTTTGGTCAACCTGCTTCATTCCTCAGATGTGGCTTGGAGTACATTTTGCCCTTCCAAAGAATTAAGCCCCTGCTTAAGGGCAGTAGGCTTTGTAGAGATTCTAGAGAAAGTTCTAGGAGCATCTACAAAAGAGGAATTTCCATACTGTTCAAAGTTATGGCGGCATTGTTGACAAAGGAGAAGGAGAAGGCTAATTCAGGCTGGGCATGATGTCTCAAGTCTGTAATCCCAGCACTTTGGGAGGCTGAGGTGGGTGGATCACTTGAGTCAGAAATTCAAGAGCAGCCTGGCCAACATGGTGAAATGCCGTCTCTACTAAAAATACAACACAATTAGCCAGGTGTGGTGGTGGGTGCCTATAATCCCAGCTACTCAGGAGGCTGAGGCAGGAGAATCGCTTGAACACAGGAGGCAGAGGTAGCAGTGGGCTGAGATTGTGCCACTGCACTCCAACCTGGATGACAGAGTGAGACTCCATCTCAAAAAAAAAAAAAAAAAAAAAAAAAAAGAAGGCTAATTCAGACCTATTTGTTCTGGTAGGTTTGTTAAGTGCCAATGTGGTCACAGCATACAGGTTTATGGGCCATCTAGGGCCTAAACAGCACCATTTCTTTTTCTTTTCTTTTTTTTGAGATAGAGTTTCACTCTTGTTGCCAGGCTGGAGTGCAATGGCGCGATCTTGGCTTATCACAACCTCCGCCTCCCAGGTTCAAGTGATTCTCCTGCTTCAGCCTCCCGAGTAGCTGTGATTACAGGTATGCGCCACCACGCCCGGCTAATTTTGTATTTTTAGTAGAGATGGGGTTTCTTCATGTTGGTCAGGCTGGTCTCGAACTCCTGACCTCAGGTGATCCACCCACCTCGGCCTCCCAAAGTGCTGGGATTACAGGCGTGAGCCACCACACCTGGCCTAACAGCACCATTTCTAATGTTCTCTCAAACACACTAAGGCAGTGCCTGGGTTCACACCTTCCAACCTGTACTGCCTGGGAAAGGAAAATACAGATCCCAACAAAATCTGAATCTGCAGTGGAGACTCGGGGGCGAAGGCAGCATCCTGGCCTGCAGATTCAGAACCAGAGCATGAGGATGGGGAAAGGGAGGAAGACCCAGGAAGCACAAGAATGGCCTGGGGCAGGGAGGACGGGTGAGAGAACAAAGGGAAAGAAAAGCGACTATGTTTGACAATGTCTCAAAATCTGTGGCAAGTAAAAACCCACATTGTATTAATTATTCAGTTCTAAGGAGCTTGGGTTTAAATATTCAAAATGCCATCACTGGAGGCTGAGTGCAGTGGCTGACACCTCTAATCCCAGCACTTTGGGAGGCTGCGGTGGGTGGATCACTTGAGGTCGGGAGTTTGAGACCAGCCTGGCCAACATGGTGAAACCCCATCTCTACTAAAAATACAAAAAGTTAGCCTGGCATGTTGGCACACGCCTGTAGTCCCAGATACTCTGGAGGCTGAGGCACAGAGTTGCTTGAACCCAGGAGGCAGAGGTGAGCCAAGATTGCGTCATTACACTCCAGCCTGGGCAACAGAGTGAGACTCTCTGTTTCAGTTTCCTTATATGTAGAATGGGAAAATGAGGAAAAGTACTTGTTGTGGGTTGAATTTTGCCCCCTCCCAAAAAAAGATGTTGGAGTTCTAACCCCCAGGACCCATGGATGTGAATTTGTTTGGAAATAGAGTCTTTGCAGATGGTCAAGTTAAAATGAGGTAATTAGAGTGGGTGCTAATCTAATACGACTCTGTCCTTATATAAAGGGGACATTTGGATACAGAGACAGGGAGAATGCCATGTGAAGCAGAAGGTAGAGATGGGAGTGATGCTTCTACAAGCTGAGGAACACCAAAGCATGACAGGAACCACCAGAAGCCAGGGGAGAGGTCGGGAACAGATTCTCCCTCACAGCCCTAAGAAGGAATCAGGCCTGCTGACACCTTTCTCTTGGACTTCCAGCCTCTAGAACTGTGAGACAATACATGTCTGCTGTTTAAGCCACCCAGTGTGTGGTACTTCACAGCAGCCTTAGGAAATTAATACAGTATTCTATCTACCTTCTAGAGTAGGATAAAAATGAGCTGGCATATACAAAATCACTTAGGGAAACAAAGAGTATAAAATGGTAGACAAGTATAGGCTATTATCACATGCCACCCGTATGCTGATTCAGGCAAGAGTTCCCAGCAGGATCTGAAGTCACCTCCTGGGGCTTTCCTCCTTTATCAAGAGATTTTCACCCAAAAATACTGCTCTGAGTCTAACAGGCCAACTCATGAAATGAAAATAAAGTATGTGTTTTAATACCCAGATTCTACAAATTTTGTGATTCTGGAAACATTCTGGGACCCAGGGCCACTCCATCAGAAAAGCTGATGTTAAAGAATTCTGTTTTGGAGTCCTCCTGCCTTTCTTTTTGGCATTTCCTTATCTCTACTCTCAGGTTTTCATAGCCCTAGTTTCTAGCATCTGGTAAATTATTTCTCACTATGATGTTACTGACTAAATAGCTACGCTTCCTAAAAGGATCCCTGGAGAGGGCAGAGTTGTAACAAAAGAAGTGACCCTTTCATGGAGCACTTGTGTGAGGGCCTGTGAGGGATAGAGCTGTTGGCTCCGGCCAACACAGAGTATAGAGTGGACGGGGTCACTAGCTTGTGCCCAGACACAAGCAACTACCATTTGATCACTTACGGAAATATCAAGCTCTTCCATCCTGGATTTGGGGTTCTTCTTGATAGCCAGGATAAGTAAAATAGCCCCATCCATACTTATGGGATTCAGGAAAAGCTATAGAGGGAGAATCAAGACAAGAGGAGGCTGAGATGGGAGGATGAGGCTGGCCCAGAGCACAGTTGCTACATCTCATCAAATCACAACATCTGTCTCATACCCAGACTTCTCTGTAAGTAATTATCTACTTGTCCGTCTGTTTGTTTATCCATCTGTCTGCCTATCTCACTGCTGATCCATCCATCCATCCATCCATCCACCCACCCACCATCTGTCCATCTTACTGCTCATCCATCCAACCATCTATCTATCCATCCATTCATCCACTTATTTACTCATCCATCTCACTGCTCATCCATCCGTCCATCCATCCATCCTTCCATCCACCCACCCACTCATCTGTCCATCTCACTGCTCATCCACCCAACTATCTATCTATTCATTCACCTGTTCATCTTCTCATCCATCCACCTCTCATCCATCCATCCATCCATCCATCCATCCATCCATCCATCCACTCACTTATCCAACTCACTGCTCATCCATCCATCCATCCACCCACAGATCTATCCATCCAACTGCTCATTTATCCAACCATCTATCGATCCATCCATCCATTCATCTACCTGTGCATCTACTCATCCATCCACCTGTCATCCATCCATCCATCTAGCCATCCATCCATCCAGCCAGCCATCTGTTCATCTCACTGCCCATCCATCCATCCATCCATCCATCCATCCATCCATCCATCCATCCATCCACTCACTTATCCAGCTCACTGCTCATCCATCCAATCCAATCCACACACAATCTATCCATCCAATCTCATTTCCAACCCATCTATCATCCCAACCACTCGGTTGTGATCCATCCATATTCATCTCTGTGCATCTACTCATCCATCCACACTGTCATCCATCCATCCATCTATCCAGCCAGTCATCTGTCATCTCACTGCTCACTCCATCCATCCATCCATCCACCCACCCAGCAATATTAATTAGAGGCTTGCATATGCCAGCAATATTGGACTAAGCACTGAGGGACACATAGGCACGACATGGCAAGGTTTTCTGCCTTGGGTAGCCTTAACACTGTAACTGGGGGGAGAAAGGCAAAAAAGCCAATAGTCATCATCAGAAGTGTTATGATAGCAGTGACAGAGGTACACCTGGGTACGCAGAGCAAGGAAAGGAGCATGCAGCATAGGGGAGGGAACCATGGAGCTAAGCCTTGCAGGACTAATGAGGATTAGTGAGGTCTGAGGAAGGGGGCAAAACCAGAGGAGGAAACAAGATTCACCAAAAACGAAAAAGGAGTAGGCAAGTGCAAAGGCATAGGGGTGTGAAACAGCACGAAATGTTGTGAGCAGAAGCAGAGAGAATGAGGCCACAGAGCTGGGATGGACCACATCATGGAGAACCTTATAGGCTTGGAGAAGGAACAAGGACATTATCCCAGTGGTGCTAGGAGCTGCTGAAGCATCGATAGAAGTTAACGGAAGGGACTCTGGAGCCTGGTGGCTTTGCTTACCAGCTGCCTGGCATTTCATTAATTCCCTGATCGCTTTGTACTTATCACCTACGGCTGCTCTGAGGACTTACCATACCAATTCAGGCAAAGCATTAAAATGAGTGCCTGGTAAGCAGTATGCCATCAATGAACAGTAGTTCTTATTATTGAAGGCTTTCAGCTAAGTGGCTTCATGATGAGGCAGCCAAAACTCTTACTGAGCACCTAGTATATGTCAGCTGTGTCCCAGGCTCTGATATACTCCCGTAAGAAAATGCAGACTGGGGCCCAGGCCTCGTGGAGCTCAGCATCTAGAATCCTTTGCTGGACTCACTTCCTAATGGGAATTCCTTATTTTTTTCCAAGTTTAGGGGAAATGGGCACCAGGGCTGGATGTGGAGACCCAGAGATCATTCCTGTGGCAAAGTTGATGTGGTTTCCATGGTGGCCAAACTAAGAGTTTTGTCTTAAACTTTTCTCTTTTACTTCTAAAACATTTTAGAAAATTGAAATATATTCATTACGTATGGTCATTGTGGAAAAATGAGAAAAGCGGCAAAAAATGGTTTAAACCATGTATACCCACAAAACAGCAAAGACCCCTATTGCCATTTTGCTGAGGCAACTGCTTAGTCTTTTAAAATTCAGTTTCTCAGACTGTCTCTGGCTTCCTCAGCCAATGGGGCTGAGCCACCCACAGCCTGGGTCAGTCTCTGTCTGAGTTATACCTGGCCCCGCTCCACCCCAGCTGGGACTCCCAGATCTCCTGGTCACTAGATGGCCAATCTGTTTGGTCTGTAGTCACTGTGCCCCTGCCTGTCAGAATCTGGCTTCCTCCTGTCCTCTTAGCAGCTCCTCATGGTTGTCCTCTCAGATGGCATCCCCTTCCTCACCGTTTCCTGTTTTTTTTTCTTTAGGACCCTCACATCTGTGGTCTCCCCAGTCACCCTCACATATTGAGGAGTTGGAGTTGCCATGGAAAACCAGGTAGAGCAGGCTTCCCTCTGCCTCCTGCTACTTGTGTGGTGTAAGCAAGTCACACAACCTCAGTTTTCTCATCTGACAAGTGGGGCTAACAGAGCCCACATTACCAGGTGAGGCTATGAGTAATGAGAGCTGGCTCTTGGCAGGAGCCCCAGAAAGGGAGATGATTAATAGAAGTCCTCACCTTTCATTTATTTTCCAACCACTCAATAGCATCTATATTATAAAGTAGCATCTACAAGTAAATTAATTTAAAATGAAATATGTATTCATTAATTCATTCATTTGATGAATATTCACTGGGCTTCTACTATGTGCCCAACACTATGCTAGGTATGAGGGACTAGGTATAAGGAGTTTAATGATGGGAAAACCAAACAGTCTTCGATCATTTTTGAGACAGTCTCGCTCTGTCACCCAGGCTGGAGTGCAGTGGCGTGGTCTCGGCTCACCGCAACCTCCGTCTCCTGGGTTCAGTGATTCTCCTGCCTCAGCCTCCCAAGTAGCTGGGATTACAAGCATGCACAACCACGCCTGGCTAATTTTGTATTTTTTTTTTTTTTTTTGAAACGGAGTCTCACTCTGTCACCCAGGCTGGAGTGCAGTGGCTGGATCTCAACTCACTGCAAGCTCCGCCTCCCAGGTTCCCACCATTCTCCTGCCTCAGCCTCCTGAATAGCTAGGACTATAGGTGCCCGCCACCTTGCCTGGCTAGTTTTTTTGTATTTTTTAGTAGAGACGGAGTTTCACCGTGTTAGCCAGGATGGTCTGGATCTCCTGACTTCGTGATCTGCCCATCTTGGCCTCCCAAAGTGCTGGGATTACAGGCTCGAGCCACCGCGCCCGGCCTTGTATTTTTATTAGAGACAAGGTTTCACCATGTTGTCCACACTGGTCTTGAACTCCTGACCTCAAGTGATCCACCCACTTTGGCCTCCCAAAGGGCTGGGATTACAGGCATGAGCCACCATACCTGGCCCAAACACAGTCTTCGTTTTGATGAAACTTTCACGTTTGAGGGGATGACAGGTGAGCAAAGAGCCCTTATGTACATGGAATTAGAAAGGGCAGCAAGTTCTATGGGAAGTAGGGAGCAGGACTCTGGGAGCAGGTCCCCTAGATGGAGGATCCCAGCAGCAAGCAAGTGGAGGGGGAGCAGCCAAGCCTCTGTGGTAGGAGGAAAGGAGCGGAGAGAAGACCGGGGGTCTTGGGTGCATAGCAAGGGAGAGCACCGGGTGGACTGAGGCTGGAGGGGCACTTGGGGCTCAGCGAACGGGATCTGAGCAACAGGAAGCCATGCGGGGGTCTAAGCTGAAAGACAGGAGACTGAGGGGCTGGAGGAAGGGGAATGGACATCAGATTTGTGTTTAAAAAGCACATTCTGAGGGCTAGGCACAGTGGCTCATGCCTGTAATCCCAGCACTTTAGCAGACTGAGGTGGGAGGACAGTTTGAACCTGGGAGGCGGAGGTTGCGGTGAGCTGAGATTGCACCACTGCACTCCAGCCTGGGGGACAGAGCCAGACCCTGTCTCAAAAGAAGAAAAAAGCACACTCTGGTGGCAGTGTGGAGATCCTGAAGGAGACCCAGATGGGAGGAAGGAAGCCCTGTTAGGAAGATCTGTAGTGCACCAGGGAGCACTGAGGGTGACACTGGCTTTATAGTAGAGCATGGTCACTGCATTTACAGCCAAGAGGTGGTAAAAAAAAATACATGCATATATGAAGTACAGATGTTCCCAATTATTCTCTCCAGTATTATGCAGCCCCCAACTCACCCCAACACACACACACACACACACAATAGCCCCTTTCCAGCTGAAGACTACCTTCAGAACTCTGAGGCTTTCATTGGATTCCAGTCCTTTGCTGATTTTGGAGGCCCCTTCATTGCCGATGTCATTGCCGCTGACATCCAGGTAGACCAGGCAGCTGTTGAGTCGGAGGACCTCCCCTAGGGCCACAGCCCCCTCATTCCCAAGGCCATTCATGGAGAGATCCAGCTTTGTCAGGGTCACATTACCCTCCAGGAAGAGGGGAGAACAGCACCAGCATCAAGGTTGCGCGTGACTCATCCAACCACAAGGGCCCTGACTTCTACCCGCTGTTGGCATCCAGACTGGGTGCTCAGTGGTCCCCAGGACCGATGGATTTGCCAGATCATTCAGAGCTCCCAGCTGGGCTCAGTCTCAAGTGCTCATGAGACTCCCTCCCTTTGGCTTCTGGTCATTCCCTACCCACTAATTAAACTGCCCTCTTGAAGTGTATCCAAAGATGCCACTCTGGCCTCAGCAGATATGATTTATACTAAAGAATAATGTGTAGTCCAGGCGCGGTGGCTCACACCTGTAATCCCGGCACTTTGGGAGGTGGGCGGATCACAAGGTCAGGAGTTGGAGGCCAGCCTGGCCAATATGGTGAAACCACGTTTCTACTAAAAATACAAAAATTAGCTGGGCATTGTGGCGGACACCTGTAGTCTCAGCTACTCAGGGGGCTGAGGCAGGAGAATCGCTTGAACCCAGGAGGTGGTGGTTGCAGTGAGCGGAGAATGCACCACTGCACTCCAGCCTGGGCCACACAGTGAGACTCCATCTCAAAAAAAAAAAAAAGAATAACGTGCATCCAGGAATTGTGGAAGGGAGACCAATAACTTGAAAAGTATTTGATGAGAGCTCAGTACACCCTCATTGATGGTGACCATGAGGAAGAGGCTTAGGATGGCAGAATGGGAGGCCCTGGCTATCTTCAACTGGACTCCACCCACCACTCGTGGAGAGTGCCTTACCCGGAGACCGTTGCACAAGGCCACAGCTCCCCTTGTATGGAAGTTATTCCAGCTCAGATCCAGTGATGTAAGCCCCACATTGATGGCTGAAACAGGGAGGGAATTGGCTTAGCATCTCCCACAGCCCAGAGAACCCATTCTAAGAGTTAACAGATGCCCACGACACTGGGGATAAAGACCACTCAGTGGTCATGCAAAGTAAAATTCTCAGATAATAATTTTTTCAGTTATTCATTTAAACACAAAAGTGTAAGATGATCCCCAAAGCTGGCAAAGATGTGGTGAAATAATCCTCCTTACACAGTTTAGGTGGGAAGGAAATTGGTATAGTCTATTTGGCAGATATTATCTGATCACAAATATTTTCCCATTAAAATGTGCATACTCTGTCACTCACCTCTGAGACTCTACCTAAGACGACAGCACAGAATATGGGAAGAGCAAGGTGCTTGTAGATGTTTACCATGGCATCATTTATAAAAGTAAGAATTAGCCGGGCACAGTGGATCATGCCTGTAATCCCAGGACTTTGGGTGGCCAAGGTGGGCCGATCATGAGGTCAAGAGATCGAGACCATCCTGGCCAACATGGTGAAATTGCGTCTTTATTAAAAATACTAAAATTAGCTGGGTGTGGTGGCGTGTGCTTTTAGTCCCAGCTACTTGAGAGGCCGAGGCAGGAGAATCGCTTGAACCTGGGAGGCAGAGGTTGCAGTGAGCCGAGATTGCGTCACTGTATTCCAGCCTGGCGATGGAGCGAGACTCTGTCTCAAAAAAAAAAAAAAAAAAAGTAAGAATTATTTGGCTGGGCGTGGTGGCTTACCTGTAATCTCAGCACTTTGGGAGGCCGAGGCAGGTAGATCACCAGAGGTCAGGAGTTTGAGACCAGCCTGGCCAACATGGTGAAACCCTGTCTCTGTCTCTACTAAAAATACAAACATTCACTGGGCGTGGTGACTCACACATGTAGTCCCAGCTGCTCAGGAGGCTGAGGCAGGAGAATTGATCAAACCTGGGAGGCGGAGGTTGCAGAGCCAAGATGGCGCCATTGCACTCCAGCCTGGGTGACAGAGCAAGACTGCATCTCAAAAATAAATAAATAAATAAAAGCAAGAATTATTTATCTGGTGGAATACTAAGAATTAAAATAGACAGAAGCAGCTGGAAAACATCTTCAGTGGCTGTATTTACACAGGAAGGCTGTGATGGACCTGGCGTATTACGTCATGTGATGTCTTTATCATGGCAGGCCATGGCTGCAGTGGTGACTCCAGAATTTCTCTCCAGGAGAGGCTCAGGGGCACAATGAGTTGGAAGTGGGGAGGCATCAGGCTTGGTGAGAAGCTGGGTTTGCACAGAAATCATACTTTTGTTTTGACCTGAAGATGATTTTGCTTACATGTTCCACAGGGTTGGAAGATCCTATTTAAACACACTATTGACCTGAAGATGATTTTGCTTACATGTTCCACAGGGTTGGAAGATCCTATTTAAACACACTATTATTGTTGTTTTTATTTGGGTAGGACAGTTATGCTAAGGAGGCCATTGACAGAAAGTCTAAAGTCCTCTTGAACCACTACTGAACGGGAGGAATTGCCTTTAGGCCTCTGGCCCAGGAATAATGTCTTATTTCTTTTCTTTTTCTTTTTCTTTTTTTTTTTTTGAGACAGAGTTTTGCTCTTGTTGCCAGGCTGGAGTGCAATAGCTCAATCTCGGCTCGCTGCAACCTCCGCCTCCTGGGTTCAAGTGATTATCCTGCTTCAGCCTCCCGGGTAGCTGGGATTATAGGCACCCGCCACCATGCCCAGCTAATTTTTTGTATTTTTAGTAGAGACAGGGTTTCATCATGTTGGCCAGGCTGGTCTGGAACTCCTCACCTCAGATGATCCACCCGCCTCGGCCTCCCAAAGTGCTGGGATTATAGGCATGAGCCACTGCAGCTGGCCTATTTCTTATTTTTTATGAACAGTGCACTATGTTCTGATCATGCTTCTCTTTGTGTCAACCCTCGGTGTGAGTTTTTAGTAAAAAGTGCACAATACCTTATATAATTTTGGGAACAAACTTTCTCCTGCCTTCATTAACCCCTCCCCTCTCTCCCTCACTCTCTTCTTACCCTTATTTCCTCTTCTCTGCCAGTTCCCTCATTTAAGCTACACCTTGCACACCCGCATCACTCAAATGGCCACACAAGTTAGATTGTAATTCTGATCTCACCATTTACTACACGTGTGATTTCAGGCAGGTTACTTATCCTTCCTTTACCTCTGTTTCCTTATCTGTACAATAGAGATATCAATCTATATAGAGTTTTTATGAGGATCGATGTAAAATGCCCAACATGATGCCTGTCACATAGCAATCACTTCAAATAATAAGTGTTTTTTTTTTTTTTTTTTTTTTTTGAGACAGAATTTCACTCTTGTTGCCCAGGCTGGAGTGTAATGGCACGATCTCTGCTCACTGCAACCTCCGCCTCTCAGGTTCAAGTGATTCTCCTTCCTCACCCTCCCGAGTAGCTGGGATTATATGCCCAAGTCACCACGTCCAGCTAATTTTTTTGTATTTTTAGTAGAGACGGGATTTCACCATATTGGCCAGGCTGGTCTTGAACTCCTGACCTCAGGTGGTCCACCCGCCTCAGTCTCCGAAAGTGTTGGGATTACAGGCATGAGCTATTGCGCCCAGCAATAGTAAATGTTTTTAAAAGCTGCATTTGCAGTACGATTATAACAATTTTAAAAGAGGGCACAGGCCGGGCACAGTGGCTCACATCTATAATCCCAGCACTTTGGGAGGCCAAGGAGGGTGGATCACTTAAGGTCAGGAGTTGGAGACCAGCCTGGCCAACATGGTGAAAACCCATCTCTACCAAAAATACAAAAAAATTAGCTGGGCGTGATGGCTCATGCCTGTAGTCTCAGCACTTCAGGAGGCCAACGGGGGCAGATCACGAGGTCAGGAGTTCCAGACCAGCCTGACCAACAAGATGAAACCCCATCTCTACTAAAAGTAAAAAAAAATAAAAAAATAAAAAAACAAAAAAAAATTAGCTGGGCGTGATGGCTTGGACATATAATCCCAGCTACTCAGGAGGTTGAGGCATGAGAATTGCTTGAACCCGGGAGGCAGAGGCTGCAGTGAGCCAAGATCGTGCACTGCATTCCACCCAGCCTGGGCGACAGAGTGAGACTCTGTGTCAAAAACAAAACAAAAAAGAGAGCACAGTCTGTCTCACGTTAAATTTATGACCTCAGCTTTCAGACAGAGACTCAAACTGCCCCACATGGAAAGGTGCTTCCATTACATGTTGCTTCTCCCTCCTACATGGTATTTTATACCGCCTGCCCTCCCATCAACCCTAGTGGTATGAACTGAACTTTCAGCTGAAGATCTTGCCTCCTACTTCACTGAGAAAATAGCAGCAATGACAGGCTTCAAATGCCACCATGAAATCTATCCACTTACCTGCACCTGCACCACCCTTTCCTCGTCTGTTTTTCCATGAATGAACTGTCCCTCCAGCTCTCTCAGGCCGGCGAGCTCTGCACTTCTGTTCTGGACTCCATTGCCTGCAGCCTTCTCATGGACTTTGCTCCTGTAATTACCTCCTTCTTCTTCTGTAGCATCAGTTTCTTCTTTCTTCCTCTCAGCATTTTCCATCCTTAAGAACCCTCCTTGGACTCTGTGTCTCCTTTGGCTCCTGCCCCCTCTTTCTGTTCCAACTTTCCCAGCAGAACTTCTGCAGTTGCCTATAGTGTTCTTTTTGCTTTGCATCCTATTTTCTTTTTATTTTTAGAGGACAGGGTCTCACTGTGTTGCTCAGGCTGGAGTGCAGTGGCATGATCACAGCTTTCTATAACCTCTAACCCCTGGGCTCAAGTAACTCTCCCACCTCAGCCTCCCGAGTAGCTGGGACTATAGGCATGTGCCACCATGCCCAGCTAATTTTTGATTTTTTTTTTTTGAGATGAAGTCTCACTCTGTCACCCAGGCTTCAGCAGGATCTCGTCTCACTGCAACATCTGCCTCAAGGCCAGGCTGGTCTTGAACTCCTGACCTCAGGTGATCCACCCGTCTCAGCCTCCCAAACTGCTGGGATTACAGGTGTGAGACACTGTGCCCGGCCTAATTTTTGAATTTTTTGTAGAGAGAGGGTCTCACTATGTTGCCCAAGCTGGTATCGAGCTCCTGGCTTCCCATCTTAGCCTCCCAAAGCACTGGGATTACAGGCATGAGCCACTGTGCCAGGCCTCCATTTTCAACTCAACCTCCTCCAGTTGGGTTTCCATACTCACCCACTCCGCTAAAACAGCACTTCTTTTTTTTGAAATTTTAAGTTCTGGGGTACAAGTGCAGGTTTGTTATATAGGTAAACTTGTGTCACAGAGTTTGCTGCACAGATTATTTCATCACCCAAGTATTAGGCCTAGTAGTCATTATTTTTCCCGTTCCTCTCCCTCCTCCCTCAGTTAGTCCCCAGTGTCTGTTCCCCTCTCTGTGTTCGTGTGTTCTCATCATTTAGCTCCCACTTATAATTGAGAACAGGTGGTATTTGGTTTTCTGTTCCTACATTAGTTTGCTAAGGATAATGGCCTCCAGCTCCATCCCTGTTCCTGCCAAGAACATGATTTCACTGTTTCGTTTTTTTTGTGTGTGTGTGACTGTATTGTATTCCATGGTGTATATGCACCACATTTTTTTTTTTTTTTGTTATCCAGTCTACCACTGATGGGCATTTAGGTTGATTCCATGTCTTTGTTACTGTGAATAGTTAAAATAGTACTTTCAAAGCCACTAACTCTCCATGCTGCCAAGTGCCATGGTCACTATTTTATCCTTGTCTTATTTGACCTCTCAACAGCATTTGACGCAACTGCCGACCTTCTTCCTGAACTGCTCCCTTCCTTGGCTCCTGCCACCTCACTTTTCTGGTATCCCTCCTATTTGACTGACCACTCCTCAGGCTCTTCTTCCTCCTCTGTGAAACCTAAAAATGTTGGAGTGACCCAAAGGTCAGTTCGATGGCCACCTACTCAACTCTCTGTCTATACTCCCTGCCTAGATGACCTCATCTTGCCTCATGGTTTTAAATACATCTATATACCTATGACCCACAAATGTGTATCTTCAGCCCTGATCTCTTCACCAAGCTCTAAACTCATACAGCACACCATCTACCTGACTTCTCTATGTAGGTGTCAAATGGCCATTGCAAACATCACGTAGCCAAAATGGAAAACGGGGCTCCTATCTCCTGTCCCTCCTGTCTCTGTTGCTCCCTGAGTTGTCTCCATCCACGTAAACAACACCGTCATCCAACCAATAGCTGAAGCAAAATGACCATGAGTCTATCTCTCTCTCTCTTTCCCCCATTCTTCACATCAGCAAGTCCTTTTGGCTTTACCCCCAAAATATATTCTGAATTCATTCACTCTTCTCTATCCCCGCCTCCTCCCTGAGCTCAAGCTATTTTCCTGTCTTGCTTAGACTCCTGTGACAACTTCCTTTTTTCTACTCATTTGCCTGGGGATGACTATTTAGGTTGTTACTATTTTTTTTTCTCTTTTATGACGATGCTGTAATAACCTCCTCACACATTTCTCTGTGTACGTGTGAGAGCTTCTCTGAGACAATTCCCCTTGATGGGAGGGAATTTCTGCATCAGAGAATAGACACATTTTCAAGTTTACCAAGGATTGTCAAGTTGTTCTCAAAAGTGCCCGGCAGCTTGGAAGTATTCTTATTTTGCTCGGTTGTCCGCAGCCTTGACATTCACTGGCTTTAAACTTTCACAGCTTTAATAGATGACAAGGAGAACCTTTCATTTCTCTAATTAGTAAAGAGATTTGGGCACTCACCTTTCTTCTTTTGCTATGCATATGCCTTGACCATTGCTCTATTGAGGCTATTTATCATTGTCTAATTGAACTAAGGATCTTTTATCAACATTCTGAATACTAATTTTTGTACTCTACAAATGCTGCAAATGTCTACCCCCTGTCTGTTGCTTGTCTTTTGTTTTTGTTTTTGAGACGGAGTCTCCTTCTGTTGCCCAGGCTGGAGTGCAGTGGCGCGATCTCAGCTCACCGCAACCTCCACCTGTTGGGTTCAGGCAATTCTCCTACCTCGCCTCCCGAGTAGCTGGGACGACAGGCGCACACCACCACGTTCGGCTAATTTTGTGTTTTTAGTGGAGATGGGGTTTCACCATGTTGGCCAGGATGGTCTCGATATCTTGACCTTGTGATCCACCCACCTCGGCCTCCCAAAGTGCTGGGATTACAGGCATGAGCCACCATGTCCAGCCTGTTGCTTGTCTTTTAAGTTTGTTCATGGTTATGTGTCTTTTTATGATATGCATGTTTCAAATGTATTGTTGTCAAATATGGGGATTTTTAAAACTTTTAGGTTCAGGTGTACATGTGCTGGTTTGTTATATAGGTAAATTGCATGTCTCAGGGGTTTGGTGTACTGATCATTTCATCACCCAGGTAATAAGCATAGTACCCAAAAGGTACTTTTCAATTGCTTTTGGACCGTTTATGCTTACTGGGCCATACTTAACAGTCATTAGCCTTCCTAAGATCAGCCAGTTGTTAGTTGTTTCTATGTTCGTCTAATCGTCATCAAGTTTTGCTTCCCATGTTCAGGTGTTTGCTGCTGCTGCTTCTTCCCCTCCCCCTCCCTCTCCCCCTCCCTATCTCCCTCCCTCTCCCCCTCCCCTCCCTCTCCCCCTCCCTCTCCCCCTCCCTCTCCCCTTCCCACTTCCTCTCCCTGTCCCTTCCCTCTCCCTCTCCCACTTCCTCTCCCTCTCCTTCTTCGACTCCCTCTCCCTCTCCTTCTTCTTCTTTTGAGACAGGGTCTCTGTTGCCCAGGCTGGAGTGGAGTGGCATGATTATAGCTCACTGCAGCCTCGACTAACTGGGCTCAAAGGATCCTCCCACCTCAGCCTTCCAAGTAGCTGGGACTACAGGTGTGCACCACCATACCTGGCTAATTTTTTGATATTTTAAAGAGACAGGGGTCTCCCTATGTTGCCCAGGCTGGTCTTGAACTCCTGGGCTCAAGCAATCCTTCTGCCTCAGGCTCCCAAAGTTCTGGGATTACAGGCATAAGCCACTGCACCCAGCCAATTCTGAATATATTTTGGGCATGGTTTACATCACTTTTATAATCACAACATTTAAAAATAATGTTAAAAAGGGAGATTCAGCTCTGCCAAGTAATCCTCCCCATCCCTCCCCTTTGCTGTCCCTTCTTCCAGGGAGACTCACCCAGCATCTGGCCCAGTTGCTCCCCTCCTATATCAGAGAATTGGTTGTGACTGAGATCCAGCTTCTTAATTCGGTAATTGGTCTACAGAAACAAACAGGGGAAAGAGAAGGATTTTTTGTCTTCTGATTGCAAATATCTTACTTATCTCAGGGCAGTATGATGGCAGGGCTCTGATGTACCAAAAATTAGGTGAAGACATTGTCTTAGGCATTTTTTGTTGGACTGTGCTGGGAGAACTTAGTGCCATAGAAACAGCTCTACCACTTGCTGCGGCTTTTGCTGGAGTGGCAAGGTCTAAACGCTCCCCAGTCTCTAACATGTGAAAGTAGCCTCAGGTCACTGTGCCCATAGCAGCCCCAGGTTGCCCAGATCTCCCAGGGACATCACCCACGTGGCTTGGCTGTACTCCCTGCCTCTTACCGACAGGGCTTGGCAGAGCGGTGCTGCGGATTCTTCCTTGAAGTCATTTCCTGTAGTGAGGGTGGTGTGTCAGCAATGCACTGCTAGTTCACCATGGCCTCTCCCACCCTCTACCCCTCCCAGTCCATTTCCCTTTAGAACAATCAGACAGAGAAACTTTGGGAGGCGGAGGTGGGAGGATCGCCTGAGCCCAGGAGTTTGAGACCAGCCTGGGCAACATAGTGAGTCCTTGCCTCTACAAAGAATTTTTTGAAAAATTAGCCAGGCATGGTGGCATGAACCTGTGGTCCCAGATACTTTGGAGGCTGAGGTGGGAGGATCACTTGAACCCAGGAGGTCGAGGCTGCAGTGAGCCATGTTGGTGCCACAGCGCTCCAGCCTATGTGACAGACCAACATCCTGTTTAAAAAAAAAAAGAAAAGGAGCCTGGGCATGGTGGCTCATGCCTGTAATCCCAGAACTTTTACAGGCCAAGGTGGGTGGATCACCTGAGGTCAGGAGTTCGAGACCAGCCTGGCCAACATGGCAAAACCCTGTCTCTACTAAGAATACAAAAATTAGGCAAGATGGTGCACGCCTGTGGTCCCAGCTACTTAGGAAGCTGAGGCATGAGAAATGCTTGAACCCGGGAGGTGGAGGTCGCAGTGAGCCGAGATCACACCACTGCACTCCAGCCTGGGTGACAGAGCAAGACTTCATCTCAAAAATAAAATAAAATAATAAAATCAAATAAGAAAGGAAAGGAAGGGAAGGGAAGGGAAGGGAGGGGAGAGGAGGGGAGTGGAGAGGAGGGAAGGGGACTTAAAGCAAGTATTACGTGGACAAAAGAGAACAAGGCAACTGTTTACCCTCTCCTTTAACATTGCCTTTTCTCTCTGCCGTGAAATTCCAGGAGTTGGTAGCATACCCTGTGCATTCATTAGCAACATCAACCCCCAGTCTAGTGCCTAGAGTCTGTAACATCCTAAAAATGCTCATCCAAGTTCAAGCAGCAGGACTGGGACACTTGTGAGTGAGACACTTGCCATGGGTGCAAAATTTAAGGGGTGCCTAAAAACTCAGTAATCAAGAAGAAGAATATCCTAATACACTAAAAAAATCAAAATTAGTCCAAAATCATCTATATATAACAAGTGTTTTTTTAATTTTAATTTTTTAATTTTAATTTAAATTTTTTTATGGAGTCTTGCTCTGTCACCCAGGCTGGAGTGCAGTGGCATGATCTCGGCTCACTGCAACCTCTGTCTCCTGGGTTCAAGCAATTCTCCTGCCTCAGTCTCCTGAGTAGCTGGGATTACAGGTGTGCGCCACCACGCCCGGCTAATTTTTGTATTTTTAGTAGCGACATGGTTTCATCATGTTGGTCAGGCTGGTCTCAAACTCCTGACCTCGTGATCTGCCCATCTCAGTCTCCTAAAGTGCTGGGATTCATGCCTGGTGTGTTTGTAATTTTAAATAGAGACAGGATCCGACCCTGCACACACATGACTAGACCTTATTCACCTCAGTCCATTCTATCCCTGTTGGATGCTCTTTTTATTTAATGTCTTGATATTTTGCTCATCATGATATTTTGGCACTCCTTACATTTGTGACCAACGCAAGTGGCTCACTCACCTTACCCGAGTTGTGGCCCTGCTAAGCAATGTAAGACACTGGTGATTTCTGGGAAGTACATGACATAGAACCTTATTCCCAAATTTCCTCCTTTGAACCCTCAATAAGCTTTGTATCTCTACCACCTACATAGTGCTTGGCACATAACAGGTCCTTAATAAAGTGAGTGAACGAATGAATGAATGAATGCGTTCACTGGAACACAAATACTTGTTTGGCTGTGTCTGTTAGCAGTCCAATAAAGTGAGATAATAAGCTAGTCAATGCATAAAACTAGGTGATTAATTATTCAAATTCTTGTGTTTAAATCAGTGGTTACAGATGGTACAGAGCTGGTTGTAAGAGATTTATTTGTGAAATTTGAAAAAACACAGATTCCAAGATTTCTCCTGCTAAAGATTCTGATTTCACCAGACTGGGATAGGACTGGGCGATTTGTATTTTTACAAAGAGCTTTCTGTACTATGTTAACACATTATGTTAGGGGTCTTAGCCAATGCAACCAGAAAAATAATTAGGAGATATAAATATTAGAAAAGAAAAAACTACCATTATTTGCAGATATAGTCACCTATCTAAATAATTCTGTAAAATTAACTAACAAAATGTTAGAACTCATAAGATAATTTAATAAAGTGACTGGATATAGAATCAATGTATAAAAATAAATAGCTTTCAGACACACCAGTAATGACCAATTAGAAAATGTGATAGAAAAAATCATTATGTTCACATAAGATAAAATAATAGAAGACCTAGAAATAAACCTAATATAAATAATGCAAGGCTTATAACAGAAGAAACTAAAACTTTACTCAAGAATATAAAAAGACCTGGGGCTGGCCACGGTGGCTCACACCTGAAAAAAAAAAAAAAAAAAAAAAAAAAAAAAAAGAAAAAAAAAAAAAAAAAAAAAAACAAATCCCAGTTACTTCGGGGAGGACTGACCGGCAGGAGAATCCACTTCGAAACCGAAGCCAGAGATTGTGGTGAGCCAAGATCGCACCATGTGCACGCCAGCCTGGGAAACAAGAGTGAAACTCCTCTCAAAAAAAAAAAAAAAACAAAAAAAAAAAAAAAAAATATATATATATAAAGACCTGCAGGAGTAGAGATAAACCATGTTCATAAATGAAGAGACTCAATATTGCGAATATGTCAGTTCTTTCATAAATTAATCTAGAATATTAAATGGAACCCCAACCAAAACCCCAACAGGTGTTTTTTCTTCTTCTTTTTTTTTTCTTAAATAGAACTTGACAAAATGATTCTCAAATTCACCTGGAGGAGAAACTGTACAAGAATAGCCAAGATTACTATTACTTACAATACTAATAGCCAATATTGCAGAATTATTTTGAAGAAAAGATTCAAGATTACTTTGAAAAAAAGATTCAAGGTTACTTTGAAAAAAAGTAATGCCCACTCACATACAAAACATATTTATTGGCTGGGCACAGTGGCTCATGCCTGTAATCCCAGCACTTTGGGAGGCCGAGGCGGGTGGATCACTTGAGGTCAGGAGTTTGAGACCAGCCTGGCCAACATGGCAAAACTCTGTCTCTACTAAAAATACAAAAATTAGCTGGGCATGGCAGCAGCCACCTGTAATCCCAGCTACCCGGAATGCTGAGACAGGCGAATCACTTGAACCCAGGAGGCAGAGGTTGTAACGAGCTGAGATGGCGCCACTGCGCTCCAGCCTGGGTGACAGAGGGAGACTCCATCTCAAAAACAAACAAACAAAAAATATTTATTATAAGAATTTATAACATATATTAAACAGTACATCATCTTTTTTTGTATTAGTCACAACATCTTATGTTATAATATGTGGTAATTATAATTTTAATATTCTAAACAAATATTAAGACAATGCAATGTTGACACGGAAATACATAAATAGATTAATGAAATGAAACAGAGAATCTAGAAGGAAACCTATATTTATAATGGGAGTTTAATACATGATAAAGATGATATTTTAAATTAATCATAAAAGGATGAATTATGACATTGAGATGCTGGAGTACCTGGCTATCAGTTTTGGAAATAAAACATCTGATTTCTACCTCATGCCATTCACAAACAAGTATTGGATATATTAGAAAGCTGAGAGTAGAAACAACAACAACAAAAATTGAAAAAAATAAAGGAAAATATTGTTACCTAATTTTGTTTTCTTTTTATTTTTTACAGATGGGTCTTGCTATGTTGCCCAGGGGAGCCAGTCCTGGGCTCAAGCAATTCTCCCACCTCAGCCTCCTAAGTAAATGGGACTATCAGTGCGTGCCACCACTGCTGGTTCAGGAAAATATTTTTATAAACTTTGGGAAAGAGTTTTAAAGCAAGATTACAAAAATTAAATCCATAAAGGAAAAAGACTATAAAACTTGACATCAATAAAAGGCACAAACTTTGCTACAAGAAAGTACCATAAACAGGCCGGGCATAGTGTCTCATGCCTGTAATTCCAGCACTTTGGGAGGCTGAGGCGGGCAGATCATGAGGTCAAGAGATCGAGACCATCCTGTCCAACATGGTGAAACCCCGTCTCTACTAAAAATACAAAAACTAGCCGGGCATGGTGGCACGCTAGTCCCAGCTACTCAGGAGGTTGAGGCAGGAGAATTGCTTGAACCCAGGAGGCGGGGGTTGCAGTGAGTCCGGATCGAGCCACTGCACTCCAGCCTGGTGACAGAGCAAAACTCTGTCTCAAAAACAAAACAAAACAAAACAAAAAAAGAAAGTACCATAAATAAACCTGTATCTAACATTCTAACATTCAAGTATGAATACCTATAGTTTATGAAGAATGGCTAAAACTAAGTCATACTAACAACCCCATGCAACAACTGACATTTCATAGAAGAGAAAATAGAAGTGGAAGTGAGCATCTCAAAAGGTGTTCTATTTCAATAGTAATAGAATGTGTAACAGTAACAAAGAAAATAATAGCGAGGAACACATTGAATACTTATGTACTAGGTATAGTTTTGGGAGTTTTAGATTTTAATTCACTTAATATTCATAACAACCATCAGGTAATATAATTATCTTTAGTTTATGAATGAGAAAATGAGGCACAAAATGGTTAAAAAACTTGCCCAGTGTCAAAGCTGGGATTTGAACCCAAGCACTGTGACTTCTACACCCACACGCTTAACCATTTTGATTCACAAATAGCTTGCTATTTCCCTTCTGGGGATAGTATAGGCAACAGTTCATTGGTAGAATTATAACCTGGCAGTCTTTTTAAAGGGAAATTTGGAAATCAATTGTTAAGTTCACAAAAATGGATACATCTTCATATTCAGTAATTGTGCTCCTGGGTGTCTATCTAGAAATACAAGAACATGTGCCTAAAAGATGCATGAACAAGAAAGTCCTTTAAAACATTACTTGAAGGCAAAATTAGAAATGACTTTAATCTCCTTTCTTCCAAATAGGGGGGTGTTAAATAAACTGTACTATGTCCATAACTCAGAATACTAGCCAGCAGTTCAAGAGAATTAGATAAATCTATTTGTTTTGCCATAGAAAGAAATCCAGGATATATTTAGTGTAAAACAAGAGAAATTGGAGAATAATAACTGACCTGTAATAACATTTATGTTAAAAATACACGAACTAAGGCTGGGCACGGTGGCTTTTGCCTGTAATCCCACCACTTTGGGAGGCTGAGGCAGGAGGATTGCTCAAGCCCAGGAGTTTAAGACTAGCCTGGACAACATAGCGAGACTCCATCTTTATAAAGAAAAATACACAAACTTTATTTCTGTATTTTCTCCCTAGACACTCTTCAGATCTTCTCTGTATCTTAAGGGTTTTTCAGAGATATATTCCAGTGTAGATTCCTTTTTATATACCTTTCTTAGGAGTTACTTGAATTCCTGTATCTGCAAATTTATCAATTTAGGGAACATGTTAGCTGTTATTTGTTCAAATATTGCTGCTCATTCATTTCTTCTCCTTCTGGAAACTACTCATTCTTTTAATTCTTTTATCTTTTATATTCTCTATGTCTTTGTCTTTCTATGCTGCAAAGATAAAATGTTTTCCACTAATTCTACTCACTCGTAACTAATGTGCCATTGAATTTATTTGTTGAGCCTTTAATATCAGTGACTATAAATTTGTCATTGTAAGAAAATCTTGGTGTGGAGAGGAGGAGAGGTATTTTTTTAAGTGATTTGTTCTTTTATGATTTTATTTTATGTTCTTAATCATATTAAACATAGTTTACGATTGGGTGCAAGATATCTCAGTTTGCTTATGGTTCCAGTTAATTAATAGTGCCCTATTCAGTTTGGGTGGTAAAGTATATGATAAATTATTGTTTATATATCATCTGTAATGTCAGATATGGATGATAAATGGCGGGGGCTAGGGGAGTGTGACTGGGAGGGTTTAACAGGCATAGATGCAGTATTCTGGTCTCCAAGACTAGAAGAACATGGTCTGGTTCAAAGAGACGTTGAATTATCTGTTTTTCCCCTCTTCCCTCCCTCTGATTCCCAGCGTCTTCTCCCTCCCTTTCCATGTGCTCACCTGAAAGCTCAAGGTTCCAGATGGAAGAACTATTTCTCTCGAAGAAATCTGAGATGATTCTGGCCCCCTCCAAACCAAGGTGATTGTTGGAAATATTCTAAAAGGCAAGAAAATACTTCGGTATGTAAAAAAGCTCACCAAAGGGCCCTCATGAACACATGATGTCTTTTGTGGTTTACTTGAGTCCTGTGCTGAGGGTGTAGGGTTGGGATGGGGAAGGATTAGGAGGAATAGGGTGGTGCCAAGGGCGAAGAGAAGAGCAATAGGAAACCAGGCTCTAGAGCCGGCTTTTCCAGGGCCTGCCTGTGGGACCTGTGGGCTGGCTGGTCTCAGTGTTTTGAAATTGGCTTCAAGGACTCCCTATTTTCCCAATTTAGCCTTGGTGCTTCAGATAAGCAAGCTATTTTGTTTCTTTGTGTTAAAACCCAGAACAGCTTCATGTGGAGTGAAACAGTGAAAATTGAGTTCAGAGTGCAGAATTATTGTAAATTCCACTCATTGATTCGGGAAGTATGAATTGTCCTTTTAAGCTAGTGGGTGGGACTTTATATAAAGTGGCCATTATGGTCTTAATTGGTTGTTTCCCCCTTTTCTTTGAATTTCTTTTTAAGATGGTAAAATAAGCATAACATGATTTACCATCTTTGCCGTTTTTCAGTGTCCAGTGCCGTGGTATTAAGCATATTCCCATTGTGTAACCATCACCACCAGCCATCTCTAGGCACATTGTCTTTCATGAAATTATTTCATATCTTTACTTTCTTTAAGAAAGTTCACTTTAAGGCAACTATGCAGAGCTACATTTATCAATTTTTTTTTTTTTGAAACAGAGTCTCACTCTGTCACCTAGGCTGGAGTGCAGTGGCGTCATCTCAGCTAACTGCAACCTCTGCCTCCGGGGTTCAAGCAATTCGCCTGCCTCAGCCTCCCGAGTAGCTGGGATTACAGGTGCACACCACCATGCACAGTTAACTTTTTATATTTTTAGTAGGGGCGGGGTTCCACCATGTTGGCCAGGCTGGTCTCGAACTCCTGACCTCAGGTGATCTGCCCACCTTGCCTTCCCAAAGTGTTGGGATTACAGGCGTGAGCCACCATGCCTAGCCACATTTATCATTTTTAAGGTCTTCTAAGTTCCAGACAGAAATGGTTTCTTTTTTTCTTTCTTTTTTTTTTTTTTTTGAGACGGAGTCTCACTCTTGTCGCCCAGGCTGGAGTGCAGTGGCGTGATCTCGGCTCACTGCAACCTCCACCTGCTGGGTTCAAGCCATTCTCCTGATTCAGCCTCCTGAGTAGCTGGGATTACAGGTGCCCACCACCATGCCCGGCTAATTTTTGTATTTTTAGTAGAGACGGGGTTTCACTATGTTGGCCAGGCTGGGCTCGAACTCCTGACCTCAGGTGATCCACCTGCCTCGGCCTCCCAAAGTGCTGGGATTGCAGGTGTGAGCCACCATGCCTGGCCATAAATTGTTTCTTAGGATTTTCTACAGCCATAGGAAACACAGCCTCTCACGTGTGACCCTCCTCCGAGAAGTCACGTGGGAAGGGCAGGGGCCGGCAGGGCCTCTGGCTTGTGTCCAGTGGGTTGTGAATCCCCAGGGATGATGGTAGGAGCCAGCACAGCGGGGCACAGTACCATCTCCTGGAGGTAGTAGTTCTCTTGTAGCATCTCCACCAGGCTCAAGACGCCCTCCTCCATGATGCAGTTGTCTTCCAGCTCCAGTTTGGTAACAGCCGTGTTGGACTTCAGCCAGCACAAGGGGAGGGAGAGAGACACAGAAGCGGTTGGTGACCCAGTCAGGTCTCTGCTTGCCCTGAGATGCAGGCTAGGAATTCTGAATGCCTGGCAAGGGCGAAGAGACCAGAACAGGGGCTGAACCAACCCGTAGAGTTTTGCTAGGACAATACGCTGATTCTGGGAGAATTTAGAAAAGAATCCTGAAAGCAATTAAAACCCTGACAAGTCAGAGGCACAAGGATGAGCTAAACAGATTTTAACTATTGAGCCCTAAGGAGAAAGAACTGTGACCTACTCCAAGATTAAGGAAAACTTGATACATTGAATAAGGATATTTAAACATAAAGATTCTTGCAAGGAGGTCCTTTAAAGCATTGATTTTGCTTTCTTCAGAGGCCTTTCTTCTAATTTAGGCTTAAGTCTTATCTGGTACACTCTTTTAAATTCATATTTATTTATTTGTTAATTATTATTTTTTGAGATGTGGTCTATGTTGCCCAGGCTGATCTCAAACCCATGGGCTCAAGTGGGCCTCCTGCCTTAGCCTCCCAAGTAGCTGGAATTACAGACGTGAGCCACCACACCTGGCTCTGATACTCTTTTTAATAGGAGGTGACCTCAAGTCTGTTTGGAAGGAATTGGACATATAAATCTTTGGTGAATATCTAGATCCAAGCTAGTCGCATTTCTTTTTTTTTTTTTTTTGAAATGGAGTGATTTCTCTGTCGCCCAGGATGGAGTGCAGTGGCACGATCTCAGCTCACTGCAACCTCTGCTTCCCGGGTCCAAGCAATCCTCCCTGCCTCAGCCTCCTGAGTAGCTGGGATTACAGGTGCCCACCACCACACTTGGCTAATTTTTGTATTTTTTTAGTAGAGACGAGGTTTCACCATGTTCACCAGGCTCGTCTTGAACTCCTGACCTCAGGTGATCCACCCACCTTGGCCTCCCAAAGAGGTGGGATTACAGGCATGAGCCACCGCGACCGGCCACTAGTCTGCATTTCAATGAGGGGCAAGAGGAGAGAGAGGAAAGGACTCGCATTGCAGCATGAAGGACTGGGGTTAGCTCTAATCAGAAATTCGATCTTCCCTTCCCCACCTTGTTCCCAATACACACAGGTACAGAGAACAGACAGAGGTTTGGATTTGAGCATTTTCAAGTTCCACTAAGGAGCAAGAGAAGTAGCAAGTGGAAGGCGTGTGAATGCTGGTCCTCCCCAACCCTCTCCCCTGGAAAAGGAAAATGTGATAGTACAAGCTATTGCAATGCGGGATGGTTCACCCCCGGGCTTCCTGAAATGTCTTCTGGTCTCAGCTCTCTGGGCTGGGCAAAATTCAATTGCCTTGAGTTGTGCTCAAAGGCGAGGGAGATGGCTCAGGGGGCCTCCCGGTCTAGGTGCTATTTAGCAGTGTCTAGAAACATCAGTTGAATCACCACTGCCAGATTCATACTGGCGACCAGCACATTCTAGGGGGAAGCAGGAGGCCCAGTTCCCAAATCCATCCACGTTTATTCCACACAGGCCAGTGTCTATTTGTCACTCTCTGTGTTCACTGCTGGTGAAACAAGGATTAACAGAGAACATTCCCATTCTCACCCCACCTGCTGCCCCCACATACAAGGGCACGGTAATGGGCCGTCAAGGGATACACGCAAGGATGAAATACTATCCCTGCTATTAGGCTGCTCCTAATCTAAGCCAGGGAAACACAAATACGTGAAAAGTTAATCAGTACAAAGAGCAAATAGAAGTTCAGTCCACCAGAATGTCACAATGATTACTTGTCAAATGAATGATACAGAGAATGGGGGAAGAAGAAACTCCTCCCAAACAGAAACTGCCGTTACTAGGAAACAAGTGGTCCAAGTCCCAAGAGGATGTCATTATGGTCCATGTTTTTCCCCCGAAGCTCCTGAGGTAATGGTGCATTCCTAACGCTTCATTAATCAGCCTTTCCACCACTGAAAAATCTCAAGACGGCTTTGTTCTTTCTCCGCCCCTTTCTTCCCATCCCCGGAAAACAGTGCAATCTCACATTTCCTGTCACTTCTTAAAGTGCATATGCTAAATGCAAATGCCGTTATATCTTTCAGAAAGAATGAGTGTGTTGGGGAAAGTGAAGAAAAATAAGACCATGTATTCTAGGAATACACCGTTCAATGCCAACTGGGGGCTAGGCACTCAAAACGAACAGCAGCACACAAGCTTATCCCTCTTATCGTACAAGGAACTTACATTCTAACAATGATTACAGTAGTCCACCCCATCCTTGGGGGAAAACATCAAGACTGCTGGTAAATGCCTGAAACCAAAGATAGTACCAAATCCTAAATATACTATGCTTTTTTCCTATACATACTTACCCATGATAAAGTTTAATTCACAAATTAGGCACAATAAGATGTTAACAATAACTAATAATAAAATAGAACAATTATTATAATATACTATCATAAAAGTAATATTGCCAGGGCACCGTGGCTCGTGCCTGTAATCCCAGCACTTTGGGAGGCCAAGTGGGGAGGATCACTTGAGGCCAAAATTTCAAGACCAGCCTGGCCAACATAGTGAAACCCTGTCTCTACTAAAAATACAAAAAATTAGCCAGGCGTGGTGGCGTGCACCTGTAATCCCACCTACTTGGGAGGCTGAGGCAAGAGAATCACTTGAACCTGGGAGGTAGAAGTTGCAGTGAGCTCAGATCATGACCCTGCACTCCAGCCTGGGAGACAGAGCGATACTGTCTCTCAAAAAAAAAAGTGATGTGTATGTGGCATATCTCTCTCTTGTTCTCTCTCAAAATACCTTATTGTACTGTAAGAACAACTGAAACTGTAGACAGTGAAACTGTGGATAAGGGTGGACTACTGTACCTTCTAGCAACCAACAATGACAGTGTATTTCCAGGCTTTTTGGAGCTCACCATGTATTTCATAACTGAATAGATATGGACCCACAGAATTGCCTTCCTCATTCATCAGTCTCTCAGATGTCTGCATCATTGAACTTGGCTTACTCAGTCTTCCTGCAGCTTGTCTTTGGCTGTCTCTACCATTCTGTAGCTTCTCCTGTCTCTCAGTCACTCATCCTCTATTGAATTTACTGACTCCTTTTCTTCTTTCAGCTCCTTTATAAATAATATTTTTAAAGAATTCTTTCTCAGTCCTGAAACTGTCCCTATAAACTTTAAAAAATTGATCAGGGAAGAAGGGAGGGGAGAAACAGAAATCAGCCCAGCTTGCAGCACACACAGCATTGGTCATGAGGTCAGCTGCTCTCTGACCCCTTCCTCAGAGTTGTTTGCTGCCTGTTGCCCTAGAATCACATAGACTCTGTCACAGGATCATAGTTCCTTTTCACTGCTCTACAGATAACATCGCAAGCATTGTGAAATGTTAAGTTTTCCATCTGAGATGCTGGTGAAACTATACTGACATCAGCTGGTCTGAAGGACCCCAAGAGAAGCTGACTCACCAAAGCATGCAGCTGCTACCTCCTGATGATTTCATCCCCCTTGTCCCAACCAATCAATGACCCTAATTTTTCAGTCCCTTGTCCTCCAAGATCCCCTTAAAAACTGTTGGCCAGGCCAGGTCCAGTGGCTTATGCCTGTAATCCCAGCAGTTTAGGATGCTGAGGTGGGTGGATCGCCTGAACCCAGGGGTTTGAGACCAGCCTGGGCAACACAGCAAGCCTCCTTCTCTACGAAAAATACAAAAATTAGCTGGGTGCAGTAGTGAACACCTGTGGTCCTAGATAATCAAGAGGCTGAGGCAGGAGGATCACTTAAGCTCAGGAGGTCAAAGCTGCAGTGAGCCATGATCATGCCACTGCATTCCAGACTGGTAATAGAGAAAACCTGTCTCAAACAAACAACTCTAGACCAGAACGCCTTAGGGAAATGGACGGAAGCGTTCCTTTCATTTCCTTGCTTGGCCACCCTGTGATCATTAAACTCTTTGTTGCAAACTCTGCTGTTTCAATGCATTGGTCCTTATTGCACAGTGAGCATATGAACCTGGTGGTCCTGTAAGTACTCTTTATTTTTCTCTGTTAATTCTTTCCATGGATAATTTAACTATTACCAATTTTAAATGTCACCTCTAAAGACACATCTACCTCTCTATGTTACTGAGCTGTTGTATAATGGAATTTTCTGTTTACTTTTCTAAGTGAACAAACAGTGTTGTGCTGACATGCAGTTGTTAGGTTTTCTGTTTTTCTGTGATGGGAGTCAGTTTTGTGTGTAAGTCAGTTATAATTATATAAAGTCATGCTGAACTCAAGGTCAAGTCCTTGTTTGGTTATACCAAGCTGAGAGATAACACTGTTTCTGTGGGAAAACTTGATCTATTCTACAGCACGGTATTTATGAATTATAATGTTGCACAAGGCAGACGTTGAATGGAATGGGTCAGTAGTAAACCCATTTATAGCACAGGTGAGCTTTGGAATGGAGACCCAGGCTGGCATTTTGTTGGTGCTCTTACATTGATCATTGGGCCTGGTCACTTTTCTGGCCCCAGGGGCTGGTGCCTTTGCTTCCTGAACAGTAAAGAGTATATAGACGTCTATTTTTTTCTCCCCAAAGTCTCTGCAAGGAGCATAGACTTCTAAGGCCCAGGTTGCTAGCAGCCTCCTACCAGGAGCTAAATAAATCATTTGGCAGCCAAGCAGAACCCAGGGCAGTGTGGGCATAAAGGTCCCTATTTAGGCTCCATAGGAGGGGCCCTCTGAATCTGGGGCCTACCACTCTGCCAACCCTCCACCTCCATGAGGTTTCATGAGCCCCCGCTAGCATGCTCACCACCAGGGCTATAGCAATAGCCTTGGTACCCCTGGGGCCCAGGCCGTGGTGGTTGAGGTTCACGTAGGACTCCTCCATGTTCCGAATGAAGTAGGAGACAGGCACTACACCCACCAGTTTGCAGGCCTCCAGGTACAGCTCCTTTTGTCCAGTGGTGAAAAATTTCTCATTATCTGCAGAGAAAGATGGACTGAAGTAGGATTTCTCTTCCACCTTTGCCTTCTGTCCCCTCTAGCCCCAGGTCACATTCACTCATGCCTAGACTGTCCTCTGCCAGAGGATCTCTCCCTGTGGGTATGTGCTAAGAAGCCAGCTCCTGTCTGGGACATCAGTCCATGGTGGGAGAGGGAGACTCTAACTCCAGAAAGTCCCAGATGAACGTTTTCCTTTGGGTAGGAGATGAGGCCCATGGTTTTAGGCCAGAAGCTTTCCTAGAAGTGAGCAGTGTGCTTCTCCCCACCTGCCCAGGTTGGCCACATCCAGTGACTGGTCAAGGACATGGAAGGCCCAAGCCCTCTTGCCCACCTTTGGACAACTCTGAAAGGTTAAAAGCAGATGACTTTTGATGGCTGATGGAGTCTCCATTTCACTTTTAATTTCACCACCACTATCACAAGGTTGTGAGTCATGAAAAAAGCTTCACCAAAGACTAATAGAGGCACCGACATTTAAAAAGCCCAACTAGGACAGGGTGGACCTCTCAAAATGGCAAACCAGTGAATATGGAAAGACCTCCACATCAGCGAGAAATAAGCACGCTTGCATGTGAATGGTCTTTCTTCTTTCAAAAGTTTGCATGTCATTTTCCTTATAAAAAGGACTGTCATCCTTGCTTTATCGACGACAAACCTAGCCTCAAATAACACACAGTTGGTCAGTGCTAAAACCAGCTAGCAGAAGTAGGGACTGCACCTTTCCATTCTAACCCCTGGGGGCGTTTATTCCTTAGGCTTTAGGCCAGCCTGGCCCGTGGTCACTGGGCATCAGGCCTCCCTGGATTCTGGGTGCCCCACAGCTGTGTCCTCATTAGGCAAGTCCAGCCTATGGCAGGGCTTCCTGGAGCCAGCTGGCCTCTACGTCTGCATCTGTTTTTCCTTTGGATCCCAGGGCCTTTGGCCAACCCCCTCCCCGCCCAAACAATCTAAGGCTGACAATGGGAACTTTGTTGGTAAAAGGACAAGTGCTTTACAGGGAAGCTGATTTTGCAAGCACAACTACAAAGCAGACTTCTTTTTGGGATGCTTGTAGAGCAGCACTTCTCAACCTCAGCACTGCAGGTATTTTGGGGTGGATAATTCTGTTCTGAGGGCTGTCCTGTACATAGTAGGGTGTTTAGTAGGATCCCTGGCATGGAACCACAAGATGCCAGTAGCAACCGCCTACCCCCTAGTTTGCCCAATGTCCCCTTGGTGCAAAATTGCTTCCAGGTGGGAACCACTGTTGTGGAGGAAAACAGCTCATGGCATGTGAGCAAACCAGGCTCGTCTCCCCCTCTTCTCTAGACTCACAGCCAGCACTGCTCCCAGCTGGCCCATTTCCCGTGCCCTCCCTGCTCATTCCCAGTGTCTCAGCAACCACAGCAGGGGCACCAGGAGCCAGGGCTGCTGAGCCCCGAGTTTCCCTTCAGGACAGAGTTTTTGGTGCCAAATTCAGCCATTAGAGGTTCCTGTTGGCCAAAGCAGGGAAGGTAACCCCCAGTTTTGTCCCTGGGACTAATTCTGCTGGGTTTGATGCTGACCCTTTCTAGCTGTGTTCCCTATTGTTATGTTTTATGGGCAGCTAGAGACAGTGTTAGCACTTGCTGCAGTCAGGGGAAGAGGTAGGGGGAATGAAATAGAAACAGGACCCTTTGGCCAAACATCCAGTGTTGTCCTTTGCTACCTTCTCCAACCAGGTGAATGAAGTTGGGTGTTGGAAGCAACGTTAGCAACAGACTTGAAGTGGACAAGAAGCCAGAAAAAGAGCAACAAGCTGCCTGGGGGACAGTGGGGAGGAGGTCTGCGTGGAAGGGTGAAGATGTATGTTGACCATGGTGGAGAGGATTATAAACTGACTTGATGCAGATGAACTTCACAGTTTAATTTGACAGAACTGGCCTTCCTCCATCTCTGCTGCCTGTGAATCACTGCCCAGCAGCCAGCTGCAAGGCCACAGGAGAGGAAGGGTGACTGGACTAGCCTTGGCCTGGGAAGTTTGAGGCTGGCCCTGTCAGATGGAACCAGTGTCATTCTCCCCTTGCTTCACAAGTGTTCTCTTTTGATGCTTCCCTTCTTGGGGAAACTGGGAGGAGAGAGGGTGGAGGTGTTGTTTGCATTAACAGAGTCTTTGTTTCAGCTCAGCCGGTCCCCATACCCAGGCATGCTTAGATTTATCAAGAAAAGTAGGGGAAACCAGAGCTCTAAGGTGAGTATGGGAAAGTCACTGGGATGCAAGATAGGCCACAGAGACACTCCAGGGGCCTGGGATATGGAATACAGAAGGCAGGACCATCAGAGTGAGTCAAACACGGGATCAGCCAATATGCTGGCCAAAATCCCATTGTCCCTGGGCAATGCCTATGATCTCTTTAAGGCCCAGTTCTTCTTCTGTTAAAAGTGGGCAATGATGTCTACCTTCTAGGACTATTGCAAAGATTGCATAGGATGCCCATGTGGAAATATTTAGATCAGAAAACCCTGTTTGTGTATTGATTCAGCTTTTAACAAGCTGATATGAGGGTACTGCTCCTGAGGCAGGTGACAAGCGTGGGAAGCTGAAGCTGCTGTCCCCGGGCAGCCTGGAGGAGGACTCCAGGCAAAATCGAGCACAGGCCTTTCTGCCACATTTCCTCCACAGGTCGTCCGCAGGGCAGACTCTGGAGTGAGATGACAGCTCCTGGAAACCAGATTTCTCCAGCTTCTGAGGAGAAGCTGCCCTGACCGCCCCCAAATGCCCATGCTCACCTTCAATCTCCAGGTCTGTTTCGGAATTCTCCCGGGCTGGTTTCACTTTTTCTACAGTTGGCGGGGGTTCGGCCTCACAGTAGAGCGTTTTATCACTGCTCTGTGGTACTAGCTCAGTTTCAGTCTCATCTGGAAGAAAAAAACTCATCTCCTTGATGCCAGGAATAAAACCTGCTGGCCTCTCCAGTAAAGCCTGCCGCTACCGCCCCTGTCTCTGCTCCCTTCCTCTGAGTCCCAGGTCCTCAAGGTGCCAAGCCCTGCCAGGGCAAGTCCGCTCTACAAACCTGCCTTCCCCATTAGCACTGCCTCTGACTGCTGGGTCCATGGGGGCTTGTGAAACCAACTCCCTTCTGCTCCCTGGAGACTGGCTGCTCCTGCCCGCTTCCCTGTCTGAGGCCTGCCTTGGAGATCAGCTCCTTGCTCACACTTTCCCCTTCTTATGTGTTTGGGTGGGTTTTGAGGTGTGCTGGCACTCTTTCAGGTGAAAGGTTGGGTCCCGATACATAGGCTTCCTTATTGTCAGGCACAAATGGTGCCAGGGAGTATAAGGGCAGGGCGGGCCAGGGCAGGTGGCAACTTAGGTCAAATAGAAAATAAAATGGACCAGGAGCAGTTCCAGAGAGCAAGAGAAGGAAGGGTGACTGGGTTAGCCTTGGCCTGGGAAGTTTGAGGCTGGCCCTGTCAGATGGAACCAGTGTCATTCTCCCCTTGCTTCACAAGTGTTCTCTTTTGATCCTTCCCTTCTTGGAGGAAACTGGGAGGAGAGAGGGTGAAGGTGTTGTTTGCATTAACAGAGTCTTTGTTTCAACTCAGCCAGTCCCGATACCCAGGCATGGGTAAGAATTTGACTTACCTTCTCTTCCTTCCAATCTAACATTGATTTGTGATCAGGAAAGGAGGGGCTTGAAAATCTCCCTTGGGTTGAAATGAATTACTATGATTAATTCATAGTGATGAATTAATCATATTACTGGGAACAGAGCTTCCCTCACACCAGTCCTCTACACTTGCTAGATGTGGTTTTACCACCTCTGGGCCACTGACCTGGGATCAGCCATAGGCTTGTGGAAGCCACACATAAAATCCAGAGCTCAATTCTCAGGCATCAGCAGGACTCAGTAGTTTCAAGAAGCCACACTATGCCTCTGAATGACGTGTCAGAATTTAGCCAACCCACTCATTGGGTGGGCTGAGCGTTTGTGGCAGGGGTCGCAAGTTTTGACCACCCAGATTCTAGGATGGTGGGGTTCCTAATGAGTCCATGTTCTTTCTTAATCCTTGTCCATAGACCCAGGTTCCAACATTTATCTCCCAGCCTGTCTGGGATACACAGTGCAGGTAGCAGTAGCCTGGTAGTTAGAAGACAGACAGCAGCTTGGCTGCCAAACTGCTGAGTGCCTTAGAAAAGTGATGAATTTTTAAGTCTTAATTTCCTTGTCAAACAATTTAGAACTCCATACAACCAGTAGGATGCTGGTAAATATTTAACAGTTGATTCTCCAGGAAAAAAAAAAAAAAACAAAACACCAAAAATATCCTGATTTATAGTGTTAGCCAATTCATGTGGTGTAAATATTCCCAATGTGGCTGATTTCAAACTATAAATATGGTATCAACCAGCCCACACAATACAAATTAAAGCTGGCTGGAGCCAGTATGACATAGTTCTAGCATAGCACTGTAGCCAACTCTTCTTGTTTGCCAAGCCCTGAACCCAAGTCAGTATAACACATCATCCCACTTCTAGAGGGTCCCAGGTGAGGAAAGAAGTGGGCTTCAGGGTCCTGTGATCACTAGGTGTTGTACTGAGGCAGCGGGGATGGGTCTGAGTGGTGAGAGATGGGATGCCCTTTCACCTTCTGTCTCAGGCTGAAGAGGCTTGTCATTGTCCATGGTGCCAGGACCCTCTTGAGGGCAGCTGCCAACTTCTTGCCACCTCTTGACTGCTTCCCTAAGAAGCACACCTGTCCATTCGCCTCTGTCTCAAACTTTGTGAACTTCTCTCATGAGGGGGCATCCCAGGGGAGCCTGCAGTTATCCTTCCCTCCCAGCAAGCCCTGGGAAGAGTGGGCTTTGATGGAAATTGGATGTGCATGAATTTGACCCCAACTCTGTCTGGGAGAGGTAGCTACTACTCCAGCTCATCCGGGAGAGTGGGACTGCTCTATTGCTGGGAGCCCTGTCAAAAGGATGCCCACCCCCCTGTGACTTTGTGACTCAGGAGCCACTTTCATTTCATCTTCAACATTCCGTGACCTCATGCAGTCATTGTGATTCACATGGTGGACCTGGCAATAGCAGGCCTCCCGCCTTCTGGCAGGCACCTGTTCTCATATGTCCACTGGGGCCAAGCCCAGGCTTGGCTGTGAGTGCTCAGGTGCTGTGCGGGGGGCCTCTCAGTGGTGTTGTATTTCCCCCTGAGTCAGGACCCAACCCAAGCCCCTTAATTAGGGGACTGTGAAGAGCTGCCATCATGTTCTTCTCGCAAGAGAGCTGTGCTTCAGGTAGGAAGTATTTCAGTGGTGGGTGAAGTCGGTTTCCTTCTGCCCAGCTCTTCTTCCTTTTTTCTTTTTCCCATGGGAGAGCATCTCAACCTCGGAGCTGAAGATCAAAAGCAAAGCACAATGAACGTATGTCCTATTACTATAGTTTGTTGCAGCCAAAGCATTGTTAAATCCAAACTACGGGGCTGCCTACCTTGAGACTGTTCAACCAGCATTCCCACACTCGGCCATTCTCACGTGTGTTGGAGTTGAAGTCCAGTTGCAGTTTGGTGTCAGGAGAATCTGGAGGCGCATTTGTTCTTTCTTGATAAGTTTTCAGGACATCAACGGTCAGGTCAGTGACTGGAGGGCTTGAGGATGTGAAAATTCCTTTTTCTTTCCTTTTTTTTTTTTTTTTTTTTTGCTACTCAGAATGAGGAAGATCTAGAAATTTGTGCAAGGAAAACATGATTAGAACCGTGGATCAAAATAAATACGTATGCCTGAGATGTTACTTATTCCTTCAAGCATTCACGCTGAAAAATACTTATTGAGTCTCTATTATGCACGGGCGCTAAAATAGGCACCACTGTGGGGAAGGGATGCAGACATGATGAAGACAGGACCCTTTTAAGGCATGTGCAATGCATGATAGAAATTGACAAGGCCACACTAGGGTGAGGGTCCTGGGCAAATACTTTTGGCAGAGTTCTTGCTCATATAAACAATTTGAGTCACCCTAAGTCAGCATGTCAGCACCATTCTGGTGGCCCAATCTCATGTGGTCCTTCTAAAGAAATACCAAACAGGCCAGGGGGATGATCAGTTCCTAGGATGATCAGGTAGACATGAGTCCACCAGTGATCCTCAGGGCATCTGGCTGATCCACACTATTGCAGAGGATAAGGAAGCATTAACTGGGAGAAAGAGGGATCAGAGGGCATGTGTGTCCTGGTCTAGGGTTCTCGGTGCTCTACTTGGAGGGCAGCATCTCGTCTCAGGTACTGAAGGGTGAGTGAGAAAATCTAGAGGTAGGTGCTCCAACTAAGCCACTGGACAGAGGCGCCATCAGCCTGGGTCTAACAGCAGCAGGGAAATTGAGAAGGGTCTTTGGGGAAATGTGCTGGGAGTTCAGGGAGGGTGAGGCTTCTTCACATTCGGGAACTTTCTTGGGCTCTGGACAAGTAGAGTCTGGGGAAAAGGCATTTCCAGGAGGTCAGGATGAAGGAAGGCAGCAGATCTCCAGGTAGGAGTGCAGGCTGTGAAGAGGAGTAGCGGAACGGGAGGCCACCAGGGCCAGAGCAGCTTCAGGGAGAGATCCGAATGCAATTAAAAGGCAATAGGGAGACATTGAAGAGTTTTGAACAGGAGAGTGACATCATCAGAGATTTTCTTTAGAATGGTGGACAGCAATATTCTTTGCATAATAGTTATTTCTGGAAAAAATAAAAACATTTAAGGACCATAATTTTAAAAAATGTGTATCTTTTAAAAACCCTGAAATGTAATACCTGTAACTTCTTTTTATAACTTATTATTTTTCAAAATTTCTGTGATTATTATAATTTTTTCTCAAAATTTCTGTATTATTAAAGGGGTTTCTTTTTTTTTAGATGGTATCTTGCTCTGTCGCCCAGGCTGGAGTGCAGTGGAGCGATCTCAGCTCACTGCAACCTCCACCCCCTGGTTCAAGCGATTCTCCTGCCTCAGCCTCCCCAGTAGCTGGGACTACAGGCATGAGCCACCACATCCAGTTAATTTTGTATTTTTAGTAGAGATGGGAGTTTCACCATGTTGGCCAGGCTGGTCTCAAACTCCTGACCACAAATGATCCACCCACCTCGGCCACCCAAAATGTTGGGATTATAGGCGTGAGCCACTGCGCTGACCAAGGGTATCTTTTTTTTTTTTTTTTTGAGATGGAGTCGTGCTCTGTCTATTGCCCGTGCTGGAGTGCAGTGGCACAATCTCGGCTCACTGCAACCTCCGCCTCCTGGGTTCAAGCAATTCTCCTGCCTCAGCCTCCCAAGTAGCTGGATTTATAGGTGCGCACCAGCATGCCTGGCTAATTTTTCATATTTTTAGTAGAGACAGGGTTTCACCATATTGGCCAGGCTGGTCTCAAACTCTTAACCTCAAGTGATCCGCCAGCCTCGATCTTCCAAAGTGCTAGGATTACAGGCATGAGCCACCATGCCCAGCCACACTAAAAAAAAAAAATTTTTTTTTTGAGACAGACTTTTGCTTTGTTGCCCATGCAGGAGTGCAATGGCATCATCTTGGCTCACTGCAACCTCTGCCTCCCGGGTTCAAATGATTCTCCTGCCTCAGCCTCCTGAGTAGCTGGGATTACAGGCATGTGCCACCATATCCGGCTAATTTTGTATTTTTAGCAGAGTTGGGGTTTCTCCATGTTGGTCAGGCTGGTCTTGAATTCCCGACCTCAGGTGATATGCCCGCCTCGGCCTCCCAAAATGCTGGGGTTATAGGTGTGAGCCACCATGCCTGGCTCCAGTCACATTTTTTAAATTAATCTTTTTATTTTGAAATAATTTTAGATAACAGAATTACAAACATAACAGAGAGGTCCCATTTATTCTTCACTCAGCTTCACTTTATGTTAACATCTATATAACCATAAAAAATGATCAAAACTAAGTTAATACCAGTACAATGCTATTAATTAAACTATAGACTATATTTGTATTTTACTAGTTTTCTCATTAATGTCCTCTGTTGGTGCCAGGACGCCATATTACATTCGTTATTGTGGCTCTGTTGATCTCCTCCAAACTGTGACATTTCCTTAGTCTTTCTTTTGTCTTTCATGACCTTGACACTTTCAAGGAGTACTGGTCAGATATTTAGAATGTCCCCAGTTTTGGTCTGGCTGATGTTTTTGTCATGGTTATTGGGAAGGGTGCCACATAGTTGATGTACCCTTCTTGGTGTGCGTCAGCAGTACATGATGTCAAGATGTATTATATTGATCACTTGGTCAAGGAGGTATCTGCCAGCTTTTGCTACAGTAAAGTTGCTATTTTTCCTTTTATACAGAATACAGACTTAGATACTTTAAGACTCTGCAAATGTCCTCTTTCTGCTCAAATTTTTGCCCACTAATATTAGCATCTATCAATGGATCATGCCTCAATAATAACGATGGTGTTCTCTTGGTGATTTTCTGTATTCGCAATCCTTCTACATTTATCGACTGGAGTTTTTCTACAGGAGTTGCCCCTCTCTACCACTTGTTTATTCAGTTGTTTGTATCTATAGGGACTCAGGTTTATTTTATTCCTTGGGTTACAATACAATACTATCATTTATTTTACTGTTCAATTTCTAACTTTGGCCATTGGGAGTTCATTCAGGTGGGTTCCTGTGCCCTCCTTTTTTTGAGCACTTCCTTACTCCTCCTCCTTTTTTTGACATCCTCCTCCCCCCCTTTTTTTTTTTAGCACTTCCTTACTCTCTGGAGTCACAGAAATTACTTTTCTGGGCAAGCACAGTGGTGCATGCCTGTAATCCCAGCACTTTGGGAGGCTGAGGCGGGAGGATCACCTGAAGTCAGGAGTTCGAGACCAGCGTGGCCAACATGGTGAAACCGTATCTTAGCTAGGTGTCGTGGCATGTGCCTGTAGTCCCAGCTACTCAGGAGGCTGAGACACAAGAATCACTTGAATCCGGGAGGCGAAGGTTGTAATGAGCAGAGATCTCTCCACTGCACTCCAGCCTGGGCGAGAGTGAGACTCTGTCTCAAAAAACAAAACAAAACAAAAAAAAAAACAGAAGAAATTATTTTTCCAAGGAGAATTGTATTTGGAAACCTAGATCTGGGAGGTTGTGCACTCATCACTATGTGGGTATCACTACTTCTGGACTTTTTGGTGAACAGAGCTAGGAAATATATGTGTGTGCATGTAAACTAACCTACCCATAACACACATTTATATTTATTTCCATACCAGTCCATCTATATATGTGCACTGAACAAAAACCATGAGTCTATACTTATGCCTCGATCCCCAGTCCAGCACTATGTGACTCATTCATGCCGTCCCCTTTTTCGTATTTGTCATTTCTTTCTCCTGGCCATAAACCTGCCTCTTGTTTTCTACCATATATCTGCTTATGTGTTCATCTCTAATATATATACATAATTAGTTTCAGAATTGCTAAGCCATAGTCCTAGAAACAAATTTACTAACTAGAGCATGGTGTCTGTTAGTATGTAAGGTTGTGGTTGTTTACCCTTATGGTATCCAGTCAAAATACATTTTTCCTCAGTTACTTAGGTCAACTCTTTCTTCTCACCCCCTTCAGTGGATTATTTAATTCACGTATAATACAGTTAGATTCATTTGTCAGAGTCTGCATTTCATCTTCCCTCACACATCCTGGTTGATTTTATTATGGCTGATATATGGCAGAATTCATTCTTTGTGGTATACAGTTCTATATGTTTTGACAAATCCATGAAGTCATATATCCACCACCATAGTCCTATTCAAAAGAGTTCCATCACCCTCAACAGCCCCTCATGCTGCCTCTTTTACCCCTCGTCCCTTCCTATCTCCTGGCAACCACTCTTCTCTTTTCTATCCTAATAGTTTTGCCTTTTCTAAGTTACATTAATGAAACTATACAATGTGTTGTTTTTTGAACTAGCTTCTTTCATTTAACAAAATGCATTTAAGAGTCATCCACGTTGCTGCAGAGTTCAGAGTTCCTTTTTATGGTAGAGTAATAGTCTGTTACAGAGATGTACCACATTTTGCTTATGCATTCACCTGCTGAAAGACACCTTCTTATTTTCCTCTTTTTTGGTGATTATGAATAAAATGGCTATAAACATTCATGTGTGGGTGTTTGTGTGAACATGAGCTTTTTTCTGTCTTGAGTTCTCCTGCCTCAGCCTCCTGAGTAGCTGGGATTACAGGCGTGTGCCACCACGCCTGGCTAATTTTTGTATTTTTATTAGAGACAGGGTTTCACCATTTTGGCCAGGCTGGTCTTGAACCCCTGACCTCAGGTGATCCACCTGCCTCAACCTCCCAAAGTGCTGGGATTACAGGAGTGAACCACCGCGCCCAAATATGTGTGCCCATTTTGAATTCCCACCAAGAATGTATGACAGCATCAGTTGCTCCACATCCTTGCAAATATTTACCATTTCCAGTTTTTGGTTTTGTTCTTCCATTCTAGTAAGTGTGTAGTGGTATTTCATGGTTGTTTTAATTTGCATTTCCTCAATGATTAATGATGTTGAGCATCCTTTTGTATGCTTATTTGCCATTTATATTTCTCCTTTGTCCAGATCTTTTGCTTATTTTATTTTAATTTGTATTTATT